TTTCGAAATATAAAGCTTTCTTTTAAGCTGCGATCCCCTCCCCGCGGGGATATTAGTGCATGCGACCCTTAGCTGTAAAAATGGGACAATTTTTGCAAATCAATGAATATACTCCAATCTCTAGACAAATCATGCGGAAAAGTCAACCTTTCATTATTTTATCCTGTCCGCACGATGGTATTTATTTTTTGTTTTAAGATATAAAGGTAGTTTAGTATTTTTACTGTCGCCGTTTTTTTCACAGCAGCTAATTGCGTCAATGTCCACAAACTTTGTTTTTTTTCTAGTTTGCAATCTCTATGCGTTTTGCGTACCCTGAGGTTGCAGAACAAAAGATAACATGACCTAAATTTGCACTTTAGGGGAACTTATAAGTGGAGCGAGTTTGGTTCTTGCTCCCTACTACTAAGTTAATTTCAGCTAGGAAGCGGGGCATGTAATAGCATCGGCGATATTGCGAGGGTGTGCTGAGTACTCCATGGTCACTTAGTGAACTCTGATTTATCTTCTTTCTGATGAAAATCTTCATCTTCCTCACAACGGAAGGTGAGCATAGCCTTTTCCAGCTGCTCAAAGAAAATTCTTTGAAGAATTTTTCGAAACCCCTTGATAGTTTTTCCATATCCGTTCGTTCACCAATCAATGATCGGGTAACAGCTGTTCGTTTCGGCCGAAACCAAGCTGAGGCGGTGTAATGCGTCAGGAGAGGGAAGCTGCTGCCCAGCACTTGTCAGAATTTCTCCTTTCATTTAGCCCGTTGTTTTACTGCAGTTTTACTTATCGAGAGTCCTTGGCAATTACGGAGTCAAAGTTTACTTTCATCTATATAAAGATGATGACTTCATCATTACAAGTAATCTTTTTGATTACCGTGCTCACAAATTTTGTGCTTTAAAGTCACAAGTAAATAAAACCTCTAAAATAAAACCTCTTTTGTCTATACAAAATTCTTATCAGATGATCAAAGCACTCCGAGCCTGATCAGATATTTTCTCGGAATAGAAGATGCCCTTGGCTCTGATTTCGAGATTGAGCCTTGATCTTCTCTCTTAAGCTTATCCCATTATAAAAAGCCGATTTTTTCAGACCTCTAGAACTTTTGAAAAATTTCCATGAGGTTCTAAGGAGAACTTTCAGGCTTGGGGTGGTCCTCACAGGCATTCGGAGGCGCTAAACACTTTTCACTGTAAAATAAAGTTCAGCGCGTCATAGGTTTTTGAAAAAAAAATCCAGAAATTGCCTTTATTATGTGATAATAAATTAATAATAATTAATATAAATTTCATCCTTTTTTTATTGCCCAAGATGAATTTCTGAGTGTTGATAGATTCTTTATTGCCTTCACTAACTTTTTCATCTACCTCTTTCCATCATTTTCTTCGCAAGACTGCATGTTTCCATTTCAGCCTTAGAAGACATAAATGAGCTTTTTGTGTATCAAAACGGCAACATTTGAAGCAAATGCATGTCTAAAATATTGCGAAAATCGCTTGAATGCTCGCAGCCATGAAGAGAATCGTGCTTTGTGCAAAGGGCAGGGAAAGCTGAAATTGGATCCGATGCAGTGGATGCGCACACGCTTTTTTTGCTGAGAAATTTTTGCAGATTTTCCGAAATCCATGCCTCTCGTTTTGCTCAAATTGTCACGGCTGTAATGCATTTTTGCATAGCATGTGGGATGCACATGTTGTTTGGCTCAGCTTGGAATTATCTTTTGGATAATTCTGAGTTTCTCGACTCCATGAAGAACCATTTTGTGCGAAATTCCCATCCAATTATCAAACATTTTGTTTCATCGTTGCTTGTTGTTGTGTACAATGAATATTTTCATTCTCTAAGCCTAGAAAATCGAAATCCACTCAAGTTTCTCTTTGTTCTTGAGACCATTTCGGAGTCATTTTTGGAATTTATGAGTGCAAATAAATCTTCACCTATAGCCATTGCTTTATGCTTCACTAGGAAAATCTTTCGCTCTTAGTCAAGCATCGTAGGCGCTGGATGGAGATGGAGAAAATTGTGCTGCCATTCATATTTTATAGTATTGCCCATGGCTTTAGAGTCTGTTAGAATAATGCGAAAGCTAAATTCGCAAGGCCACAAAATCTCTTACTTAGGTTTGTACTGAATCTCATGTGCTTTACTTCCATTTATCGTTCGTAGAAATTTGAAAATATAGTAATGAAAGCTATTTCCATCTCCTACAGTGAATGAAAATTCATCCAAACCTGAGGTTAGAGTAATATAGTAAATTTACTGAGACAGCTCTTACGATTTCATTCATGGGACCTGCTGACGAGATAGACATTAACAGACACAGACATTAAGTATACTTCCATAAAGGATCATGTCAATCACGTTATGAGTTAATCTCATTGAGATTCCGTGCAGAATTTATATATCTTGACAACATCTTACGTTCTGATATTAGCTTTAACCTTAATAGAAAAAAATTCCAGCTCTATCAGTCAACTGAAGTGATTTTCAATACACACTGACGTGGCAATTTGCAAAAACCATCTGAATTCTCGTATTATTTGAGATTTACATGCAAGGTTTGCTGCTCGCCCACAAAGGCAACGTCCACCCAAAATGGTGGTTATTGAGATTTTTATGCCTAACAAGCGGGGCCCATAAGTATACTTGCCCAACTCGCGCAGTCAAAAGTTGTCCAAAGAGAGAGAATTGCTTCCATCCAAATTCGCTTCGAATGATTCGGCACATTCGCCACTTTAGCTCCTCCCCTTTGAGTAGGCGTGACGTTCGCCCCGCCCCTCCGTTCACTCAACCAATCACCGTTCCGGAGAACTAGCAAACTAGAACTATTCCGCGGAACGGGATTGCCCTGGTTTTCGCAGAGTCTCGACCTGATATTGAATGAGGGACATGAGAAAGCCATGGAACGACAAAAACGTGGAAGTCGAGAATTGGGTGGACGGTGATTTAAATAATTAAGATTATGACAGGGAGCAGTAGCAGAGAGTCGATTGTAAATAGGCCTTCTATGATTTGCTTTGAGCAACTCTGCTTTATTTGATACTCAGCCCAATTTTTGAAATGCGTTCGTTCATAAGTCTGTGCGGGATATTTTGGGTTTATTCCGGCTTGTAGATATTTTACATATGGGGCTCTCATAATGGTTTTCTTTATGTTTTCCATTTTTTTAGCGGAAGCAGCAAGCTAATCACGTTCTTTGTGTAAATAACAGAGAAGGGTGATGATGTAAAAAGGGTCTTGAAGTGAAGTGCTAAGTCACTAAAATGCTATATCACCGCTGTTTGCCAGCAATTGCTTCGAGGGGGTCTAATCGATGCTTAGCAAAAAACTTTGACAAAGTCCTCATCTTACAACTATGCAGAATGTTTTGTTTTTTGTCATTTCGTTTCTCAGCTTCTCCAGCCATCTGTAACACAAGAAATGTGGGCAAATTTCTCAAATAGCAAGGCACTAATCAGGCGTTGCTTGATGTCGCCTTTTCAGTGACATCACTTTTCGTGCCCTTTTGAGTGCTAGATGTTCTCGCGTATTTGAGACTCATCTCCTCCTCCTACTCCTCTTCTCCTCTCGCTAACGATGTTTAGATTCAAATAACGCATTAACATAAAGTCCTCATTGTCTGCTGATTTTCGAAACTCGTCTGCCCCCATGAAGTCAGTTGGCACTTGTTTTTAGTTATAGGATGCATTTCATAAGCAGCTAAGCTCTTAGCAGTCAGCTGCTCGCCTAAAAAAAGTGGAAAGGGTTGGAAATTTCGGCAAACAGCTGATTGAAGCTCTGCTTACATGTCTATGTCAGCAAGCTCCTCACAAATCGTCCGTATGCCTTAGAGCCAACTGGAATCTTGATACTGAGACCTTACTTACTGTCATTTACTAGGCGTACCCCAGAAAAAAAAGCATTGTCATAGCAGCCACTGTCATGAAAGTTGAATGGACAAAACTAGGCAACTCTGCGAAAAGTTTCTGTGCTATTTTGATCAATGTATTTTCGTGAAAATTGCACTCACGGCTTGATCCTCCACAATTTTTCTAGCTTGCAAATTCTGATTGTTAATATGTGTAACTGCTTGGTCTAAACTACCTTTCTACCTTTGTAGATGTTTTCCACCTTAAGGGCATTCATGAGCGAAGTGCTAGGTTTTAGAATGATTTATCTGCAATCATAGGATTTGCTTCGTGAGAAACTGGAGCTACTAATTTTGATATAAATTCAATTTAGTTCAACTTGGATTCAGTGATTCGAGTTTTTACCTCTTTCATTTTTCTAATCTGATGCTTGAATCCTCTATGCTGCAAAATGCTTAGATGGTGAGGAATTTCCTGCCATGAAAAGTAAAAATGACATAAAAATTGTTCTGATCGTGGAGCTGTTAGCATACATTTTCAGTAAGAACGTTGTAGCCAGAAAGGCATGTATAGGGCATTCGAAAAATTGTGACGATGACGCAACAGCGCGCGACACGCACGCGCTTTCTGGAAACCGGAATCTCTTGGTTTTTACATCTACTCCAGTGGTTTTTCTGCTTACCTATGACAGTATCTATACACTGGAAGTGACTGAGCTGAGCGTTGAGGTGATACCTTTTCGAATGAGTGTTTTATGCTCCTGTGCGCGCAAAGACCGCAGCCAAATCCGTCGTCACGATTTCATGAATGACTTATATTTTCTGATTCCTGTTCCAAACAAATTCCTCTTTTTGGAACTTGGTATACTTTATGACTTGGGACAGTACAGTGACTACATTCGTTGATGCTTGAGTCAAAGTCGGATGGAAAGGCTTGCTTATCCACTGTGCGTGACGACCTATCTATCATGCAGAAGAGAGACGGAATCTGTCTATCTTACCGGATTATTTTATGAGCTGTTGAGCACTCTTTCCCACTTTTCCCAGAGTTATGTGTCACAGGGTGTCGCGATACTTATCTCCGATCCAGATTTCTTCCGCTAAAAGAAGCTGAATAACTTCCATTCAGTTTCGAAATTTTAATGTACCTAACTTTCAGGTATGCGCTAAGCAATGGCAGACAAGGAAGAAACATCTGGAGGAGAGCAAGATGACATCTCGTTCCTGAGAACGGTGAGTGAAATTTAATGCTGTAATTGTATAGGCTGTTGCATGACGAAGGCGCAATGTTTTTGGGTGCGAATGCGGCTTTATTAGCCGCAGAGCGCATGAGGCGCAGGATCTACATTGGTGAAGATACGCGTTCGCGCCTGCTCAACTAAAACTGCTTCTGCGCCTTCGTCATGCAGTAGCCTTTAATACAGAATGACCTTCTGCATTTGAAAAAAAAATTGGGAAAATTACCTAATGGTCATTTATGTTTTATTGATTTAGAGAATCAACTAGAGCTTCAAAAAATTGTTTACATCTGGAACTTATACATCTTAGGTAGTTACTGTATTGAAGACTCAATCAAGCCATTCCCAAACGGCAGATCGTGTCATTCAATCATACCAAAAAAATTAAGTCCCAATTCAAGCGAACCAATCACCGTACATGCGAAGAACATTGATTGGTACGCTCAAAGAGGTACGGTGTGGGTGAGCGAAAGTTTTTGGCGCGAGATCTGCCTGTATTACCTGCCGTCTGGTGCAAGCAATAATCTCGTTCAATGGCATGGTAAATTCTAATCGTCAATGATTGAAGGCAGTGTCTGGACAAACCTTAGTATCTGGACTTCCCACTCCAGATACTAAGGTTTCAGATACACTTCTCAAGTCCAGTTAAGGTTTCAAATTCAGATGCTAAGGTTTCAGATACACTTCTAAAGTTCAGATACTAAGGTTTGTATGGACACTGCCTTTAATCATTGACGATTCGACTTCACCATGTCGTTGAACGAGATGATTGCTTGTACTTAACCTACATGTACTTTACCCTAGCTACCATCACCTGCTTTTTACTCCAATGAACTCAGTTGCGCGCATAATGCGCCACTTAGGAATTCAAATGTACTCATCAAATTTATGCAATGGCACAGAAGACTATGTTTGTTTCACTCTAATGTATTTTGCAAATACATATGTAATCGTTGTTGAAGTTAACTCGGCAGTATTCTTCAAACATCAAAGCAACTAAGTACGCTAGGCGCAGAGTGTGGTTTTATTGAAGCTCTTAACTTGTCTTCTCTTCGTCAACGATTACAAATACTTGGGAGATGATAGTCTTTAGTGAAAGTTTCAGCATATCATTTGAGTACTCTAGCTCTTAGACTAAAAGCAATGCATTTGCTTTCTTCATCTTATGCACTGCGTTTTTTAAAATAATACACGATACTGAGGTTCTAGAACGTCCTGTTGCTGTTTTGATGATAGACATAAAAAAAAGATTGATGCTGTAGACAATTTCAGCAGTCAAGATTAGCTTTTCTTACTAATTCAGCAGACTTATCGAAAAGAGACCAAAGTGATATCCGGAGTTCTCCCTTCGTCGTTTCTCCTTCAAACTTCTAAAAAGGATTGAATATCGACGCTTGATGCCGGCTATCTCAATTTACGCAAAGTACTTAGTCAGTTCACGACAGAAGGAGTTCTTTTTTCATCTGAAGACAGAATAAGTAGGTATCTATCCGGCTTCTTGCTAGTGATTCTATCCATACTCCATCCGACTTATAGCGAGAAAAACCGCTTTCAAAATATTACAATGATGGGTCCAGCATAGCAATCAGTGGAAATCCGATTACTGGATTACTGCTTGAAGATTTGTTGTAAGGAATATAGTTCGGAAATAGAGCTGGGACTTGGTTCGTTCACAGTATTGTTCATTAACTGCATATTATTGTCGAATATAACAAGCATTTTTCGTCTGATTCGTCAAATGCTGGACATTTTTCATTTTTCCGGTGCGACACTAAACTCTTCGATTTATTTGAAAACAAAATATTATAAGATTGGTGCAAAACTTCTGCCGCCTTATTTTTGAAAAATCAAAACTTCTTGCTCTCTTGACGGATTCGCACAAGCTCAAAAATAGAAGAAGTCACTTTTCTTTGCAACAACGCCTCTGCTGCTCTTCAAATGGCGAGTTTTTGAGAGAGAAACACGAGAATACAATTACATTGGCTTCGTTAATTTTTAGTTAGTGCGCCAAAAAAATATCCATCCCTTTTTAACTGTGCAAAATTTGTGCTGAGCATTTCTGTGAGAAGTCATGATGTTTGAAAAAAGTGCCAAAAAATAAAAATCGCTGTTGTATCGCTTGCTCGATCATAGTTCCCTACGGAAATGCCCAAATAACACAAGTTCTGCATATTCTGAAAGGGTAGGTCAAAAGATCTATTACTGCTTGCTCTATATTTCATTACAAGCTCAGAAGTTTTGGCGATCTAACTCAAAATTACGAAGCTGATGAGATTTTATTCTCCTTCTCAAGAGCTTCCCATTTCAAAAAGTGGCAAAGGCACTGTTGGTAGTGCCTATGGGCAAACATGAACTAAGCAGATATTCCATATGTCCTCTTATCTGTCCTCTTATAAACTAAGCAGATATATAAAAGTAAAATTAACGTAAACTTAATTATAATTTTGACGTCAGCAAATGGACCCCGGACAGGCTTCGGATGATGTTCTTAGTTGCATTTCTTATTCATTTCCGATCATGAAGTGCGGAACTAACTCTATGTACATATAGGCACCGATATTCCCGGAAGCGGAGTGAATCATCATTGTAGAAAAAAGTTTGATAGCTCCCAAGCTGCCACATTCTCGCTGTCACATCGATGGCTGCTAAGTCCTTCACTTTACAAAACATGATTTGCTACAGTAGCTATTATGGACAATTAACCTTGCATAAACTGTGGGGGGGGGGATGCCAGTCTCTATTCCAAGGTTCTCCTTTCTTGGAACATCATTTGTGCTCTTTTGTAATGGAATGGAGTGTACTTTTGACTGGTTTCATATCCATGGAAGAGAAAATCAGTCTTTTGACAAACATTGAAACATTTTGCCTTTGTAGAATATTTCCAAAAAAGGCCACTATTGCAGCTATTTTTGAAAACTTACGTCGTCGAATTTGCATGTCATCATAAACTGCATTTGTCTATGCATTGCTTCCATCTCGCGCTTACGCAAATCACTTCCTTTTTTGTGTGTTCCTTCGTTGCTGCCCCCATGAATTATTTATACGATTGGGGAAACAAGACGATAAAGGCCAGCCAACAGCATTGTGCATTTGGGCGAATCACTGGATATCCGCGTTGCAATCACGCTCTCTCATGCCCTAGTACATCCAGTTCTTTTGTGTCGCTCTGACGTTTGAACTTTTGTTTGTCTGAGCTCTTGGGTTCGAACAGGGGACAGTTCATATTTAAGATTGTGCGCATTTTGAAAGAGTGCTAATTTGCTCCTTAGACAAGATAGCCGAGGTTTTTCATAAATTCTTACGGCTAGGAATGGAAATTTAGCCTTCAAAATTTAGCTTTCTAACTTCTCTCATTTCTCTTCTTTATCGTTTGAATTGTTGGAAGCGTAGATTCCTGCTTCCCACCCTTTCCCTCCCCACCCCCTCCCAGCTTTCGAATAATCCGTTGGCGGATTCTTCTAACATCGTCATAGGTTGCGCAAACGGGTTAAAGAGTGGCCGAGAGCTCATGCATCCCGTCACCCTCTCTCACTTCGATCTTACGACGGAAGAGGGAGTGAGAGAGCCCTAAAGAGGATAACGAGACTTCACTTGCAATGCCGTCACGATAGATTCACTACTACTGCTTGAAATAAGTCATCATGATTTAACTTTTCTTCTGGATCAGTTCAGCGGATCTCCAGAAGTTTTTCTGTGATCTTACCTTGGAAATGGGTGGTTCTGGAGTTCAACAGTCGTTTCTTGCTTTGTGCTGTCTGCTAATTCGTATTCAAAAAGTTGCCATAAACCGAATTTTATTTTTTGAGTTTCTATGCCCTCCAGAGTTTGACGTAAGAATTCCCGAGCTTCCATGTTTACCGAAATGAAATTCTGAAGAAACAGCAGTTTTATTTGCGTAGCTACTCCGAGCCACATTTTTTGATTATTTTGAGTCTTCTAGATATGATGAGGCCCAACAGAAATCGAATATAACGTCTTTTTACAAAGTTTCTCTGCGCGAATCAATGTCATACCTGCATGAGAAAGTGATGCTCTCACATCGAATTCCTCCGAATCTCATGCTTCATTAATTTTTCCCGTATTCGCTTAGCCATCCAGAGGGGGTGCTGAAAGGATTGCGTTCACGTTCGTTGCTCATGCAGCATTACGACAGCATTGATAAATTGGTATTCGGAGGGCAGTGACTGCAAAGAAGCGAACAAATTACACCAATAGTTATTTTTTCACACGAACACACCGGTGAAAATGAAGGTTTGGGTACAAATCTCGTAACTTGGGAGGTTTCCAGTGATGTCTTCTGGAAATCTTATTTTTACTTGATTATCCTTTTGGGCTTCAACACGTGTATTTTGAGGATATCGTAGTTCTAGTTTGAGTTTAGTGCCCTGAGGGCTTCCAGTTTCTTTATCCCTCCCCTCTCTCCCCCCCCCCCCCCCTCAGAAGATTTTAGTGATGCTTATCTTTGATTTATAATCATTTTGGAAGGCAATAAGGCGCATTTCTGACTAGGATAACCCATTTTCAAGTCATGGCCACTCTCTTATTTCCTACGTCATGACATCTTCTCTTTTCCCTCCCTCGGGAAAACGAAGGTGTGTGCGCTTCTTGCAGTTTCTTTCCAAAGTTTCCCACGTTTTTTTTCCTCGTGCCTACCAGCACTCGTGCTAACGAGGCACGAGAAATCCACGAGATTAGTATGTTGATACCTAACATAAGCCCCTAATGCGCTCAGAATGTGTACATGCAAGTAATATGCATATCTAATATGCGCGTGTGAATTACATACGTGAAACTTTGAGCTTAGAATGTTTTATTTCTTCTTGAATATAGCAGAATTAAGAGCTGTGGAATAGAATACCACTTACTAAAGCAAAGAACTGTTGTCCTTTTCAACTGTAGAACTGTTGTTCATAACGAATAGGGTACAAGGCCTTCTCTATCTGTAACTTAGATCATGAGAGCCCTTTTCTAATATGGTTTTTTTCTTTTCAGAATGATTTATTAGTAGAAAATTCCACAAAAAATGTTAACTTTAGCTAATCAGTAACTTTTTCCTGTTTTTATTTTCCAGTTGTCGCCATTATCTACGAAATGCAGCTTCTATGTTTTATCAAACACTTAATTTGTCTACACAAATCTCGTTTGATCGTAAATAACTACTCCTTACTGTCAATAAATGTACTAAAATCTTTCGTCGTGCACCCACGCCATTTGCGTTATTTTTTTGTAGTATCACATTTTTTTCTTGGTCGTTGACAATTTTCTTTCTTTGTCAAAGCATTCTGAAATTCTGACCCCTTCTCTTTCTCCCCCCCCCCCCCCTCCACACCTGCACTACATGAAAATGAAATTTATTTTTTCCATATGACATGCATCGTATGACAGCAGCCTTTCTATAACGTCGTATTCTCATAGAATTGAATTTCTGCAAAAACGCTGTAAAGTCCGTGAAAGGGTCGCATCATTTAACGTTGTGGCTCATCTGGACTGAAGCTCTTTGGAGCGTAATAAATCTTTATTGCAAAGAGCGTTTGTCCTCTGTTTGCGATAGTCTGCTGACTCTGCAGTCCCTAGTGTCCTCGAAAATATTGTCGTTTTTGCAGATTTTTGGCACTCGAGTTTTGCAAAAATTTGTGGCAAAAGCATTTTGGTTGCAATGCTTGAAAAAAAAGTGCTTCCGATGTTTTTACAGGTTTGCATAAATTTCTACCATGCACTGATTTGCTCTTCGCGCATAATTCATCCTTCCCGTCGCTTTGATTTCTTTGGTCCACGTCGAGGAGAATATGTCGATAAATTTTTGCAAGCCATCTGCATGAGTTATAAAATTGAGCATACAACATTTTTATGGGTAAATAGGTAAAATCATTTTCAAAATTTCATTATAAGTTGAAATTGGTTTTGTAACATTTTTCGGGTGTAGCTGTCACCGCACTACCTTTCGGAGATCATAGGTCCAAAAGTTGTCAATATTGAAACTTCCAAACGAATTTTCTTTGACATTACTGCATCCAAGGTGTTTAGTTTAGATGCGCCAGTCCTCAAATTTTTAGTTTTGCAGAGGCTTTATTTACATGCAATGAATATTTCGTTACGATTTTTTGTTTCGTCACATCCCTAGAATTTCTGAGGCTTTTCCACAAGAACCACTTTGCTTTGCTTCTAATCCTTCCGTTGACGAGCTGACTAGCTTCTTCCGCGCATGTTTGATCACAGCTGCTCACAAAAGCATGGATTGCATATCGCACTCCATGGGTACCCGATCCCCCACTATCAAGAACCACGATAAACACTTAAGCGACCAGCAGAGCTCGTACGGCGGCTACCCGTGTCCAACCTCTCGAGCTCATCTGCAAATGACACCTAGGCTTATAATTCTAGCGGCTCGGCATGTTTCATCTTCGAGTGGGGATTTTTTTGAGGGGCGAGGGGGGGGGGAACAAAATCTAATTTGTTGAGTCGACTACAACCTTTTCAAATAATTTGGTCATGGTTGTCTACTAATTTGTTAGCGCATTCATTCACTCACCCTTTCATCCATTTTTCGCCATACATCAGCTTCATCGTTTTAGTCCATCAAAGAATCTCTTAAGGATCAATTTTTTTCGCTTTATCACTTGCTCGAGGCCAAAATTTTTATTTCAATTTTTCTCAATCTCCAACGAAATTCCACTGAATCTTCTGCCATAAATATTTGCTCATTCACTTGCTTAATAAGGCAATTTAGAACATAATTAGGCTACTAGACTCAACCCCTGATTTCCAAGATTCTCGTCCTAGAAATTTTTCGAGGAAATTGCTGTCAAATTAACATCGTTTCATTGCCCCCATCGCTCTCAAAATTTATTCCATTAATTCACTGGTGCATCCTTTGGCTAGCAGACCTATATCCCGAATTTTCTGAATTCTCGTCTCGGGATTATTTAGAGGAAATTGCCATAGATGTTTTGTATATGTCTCTCTTAATCCTCTATAAACACCCTCATTTCCCGATCATGCCTATTCGTACTCTGCGCTGAATCAATCGTACCATCAAAGAGTAACTTACAGTTTATTCTGTGATTGTGCCTACATATACATTATTAACTGTTAATTAATATGACTATGGACTATGATACACTAAATTATGAGCACGAGGATTATCAGTTTGTTATGCGGGTGAGTTGGTTTCCGCATAAAACTGCAATGGCTTAATATATTATATTTGACTCAGAACTTGCTATATCAGCGAACAGAACTTTGATGTGAAATTATTTGGAATATCTGACGCTTTTCTAAAATATCGAGGGTCTCGAGCAGAATACTACTACTTCTTCTAAAGTCTATATTTTAAAACCAATTTTTTTAAAATTATTTATAATTTTCAAGGATTTGTTTTATGATTTTATTAGCTTTTTTAGGAAATTTCCGGAATTTCTACAAACTATTTTTTTTTTCAGGGAGACATCGTGTGCCTCTCATGTATAGCGTCCCATAATCGAGATGGCGTGCTCGGATCCGAACGAGTATGCTTGTGCACAGAAGGTTTTGGAAACCGAATGTGCACACTGGAAAATGTGTCCGATAGGGTGAGAATAGAATTTTTTTTACTATTCTATGGGGTGTTGTTTGCAGTGAAAGAACAACTAAGTGGAATCTTTTAGGACATTCCACCTGATATAGCCATATGTATGCTCTACATTGATAATGCGTTATCCATGAGAGCACTCCAAGAAATGATGTCTGCCGACTCGGAACATGTACGTATTTTGTTGTTTTTTAAATTGAATTTTGAAATAGGAAAAAATTTTACTTGACAGTAAATCGACTTTTAAAAACAAGATGTGGAAAATCTAAGATCTTGATCTCGCAAATCCGTTATAATTTTTTTTTCTCTATTGATTTCATTTGGTCTCAGAGCATTCTTGTTTTTCATTGGTTTTGCTTGCAGCTGGTCTCTTCTTGTTTTTCTCTTTTTTCTTTGTTTCCATTGTAGTCTTGAACTTCTTGCATCACTGTCATACGAGCGGGCTGTAGCTACTATAATATCTACAAACTCAGTCCTAAGCTTTCGTAATTATGTAACTCTATTCCACTTTTGGCCAAAAAATTCAAAGATTTTTGGGTTTCTGAAAATCGAAATAAGGGCCATGCTGACAGTTGCCTTCATTTGTTTGAGAAATCTTTGAAATATCAAGTCTTTGTGCTCAGATCAGTGATAAACGAACTTCCCTTGCATCATAAAGTTTATTGACATTTTTTTATCTGTTCCAGAAATCTGCCTCTGGCGCTGGCGGACATAAAACTCTGCTTTATGGTCATGCTGTTCAGTTGAAACATGTGCAGAGTGAAATGGTAGGCAAACAATTGTTGTTGAAAGGAAGCTTTTGGGGCCTGCATCCCCCTCTTTCTTTTTTTAGATTTTTTTGATTACGTCGCGTGTTTAGTATCTTGCCTGCCTCTCATCGTGTTCGTCGAACGACAAATTGGCATTTGACGTAGGTGTACAAGAAACGAACGAAGGTGCGTGTGTGATTGACAGTCGGCTGCAGATAAAACACTAGGGTTACGGTAATTCCAGGAGAAGCATGTTGGTGGACGATTCACCCTGCGTCCAAGCAACGATCGGAAGGAGAAAAAGTCCGCGTAGGCGATGATGTCATCCTTGTCAGCGTTGCCACCGAGCGCTATTTGGTAAGGACATCTGTCACCTGCCACAAAACCGCGGAGAAAACAAACTGATGCTAGCGAATTTCAGCACATGGCCTACAGTAAGGGATATATGGTCATTGCGTCGTTCCATCAAACTTTGTGGAATATTCAGAGTGTGAGCTCAGGAAGTGTACGCACGAGGAATATGGGTAGGTGGCCTCTAATTTGAAGAAATTGAAGCGGTTCTATGTAAATTTGAGTACCTGGATCCTACTGTGGATACGGAAAGCTTAAGTTATATTATGTCAAACAACAGCTCGTATGATCCATTTTTGGCCGAGAAAAACAGTCCAAACTCTCGCCCAGTACTGTACACTGAGGACGCTGGTTGGTCGACAGGAGTACGGTCCGAGCGAGAGCTTTGCGATTGATACATTGACTACAAATGAACATACGAGCACTAATTTGGGGGTGGGAAGGGTGGGGGGGGGGGGGAGTTAGCACTCCCAAAATATTTTCACAAAAAAATTTCACATACTCGATACTTGAACACTGCAATTTTTTTTACGCTCTCCATCCCCATTCAAAATTCATTTAAACTACGCCTCGTTGGGGAACTTCTAAATAGACGTTATTTTATTGAACAAAATTATTTCAACGCTATAATTCAATGAGTAAAAAGTATTTTTTGTGAGGGAAGCCGTGAAATTCGCACTTCATTGACTCCAAGAATTTTTCATTTGAAAGCCAGACGACAACCGAATTATTCGAATTATTTCAGAATTTCTTTTACTTTTTTTGTAAAATCAAAATTCTATAAAATCACATATTTTCAAGAGATTTTTCTGACCATGAGGACCACACTGTAGATCTAAAATCATGATTTTGAGAAAATTGCTCTAACCATGAAGACCACATTGTAGATCATAATCCAAACTATGTTTTTCACTTTTGTTGTTTTTTAGAAAATTTCCTAATATTCTGCTATTCCAGGTTATGTTTTCGGAAATGACGTGATGCGACTTTTTCACGGCAACGATGAATGTTTGACAATCCCGGAAAACTGGAGTGAACACCCACAACACAAGTGAGTTGCACTTCCTGCATGTAGCGCTTCCGGTCCCGGAAGTGCAATATTTTTCTGCATTTGATGCTTACGAGCCTTTGCAATGCAATGATGAACCCAAAATTTGTCATTCAGCATGGTTATCTATGAAGGGGGTGCAGCTGTGAATCAGGCCAGATCCCTATGGCGAATCGAGTTGATTCGAATGAAATGGCACGGTGCAATGGTTGGATGGGAGCAATTGTTTAGAATTAAACATATCACAAGTGGACGGTCAGAACATAGCGACTAGTCTACAAAAATTTGAAACAATAAAGTGATTTTCAGGTACCTTGGAGTTCTAGAAAACGCTGTCCAACTATATCACAAAGACAAAGCTGATTTTGATCTTACCGCCTTTGTCATGTGCCAAAACAAGGTAACATGTTTTTTATTTACTATTTTGCAAACGCTCCTCTGTTTAGGATCCCAAAAAGCAAATGTTGGAGGAAAAAGAAGAAGAGGGCATGGGCACACCGTCGATCCAATACGGTGAAACCAATGCGTTCTTACAGCACGTAAAGACCCAGCTATGGATGTCATATCAGACATCTGAAGTGACCAAGAAAGGATTGGGAAAGGTAGGCCGAACATTTCCTCGTTGTTTTTTCCCTACTTCATCCAGTTTACTTTTTGCAATTTGTTTTTGTTTACTATGTTTTCGATGACATGAATTCAAGGTAGAAGAGAAGAAAGCCGTGGCTCTGAAGGACGGTCATATGGACGACTGCTACACGTTCTTTATGGCCCTAGAAGAGGAGTCGAAATCAGCTCGAGTTATCAGAAAATGTTCCAGCGTATTGAATCGTTTCTTGAAGTGAGTTGGAGCTATAAAATGTTAAAAATGCAGGAGTTTATAGGTTGTTTACAGAGGTATTGATGCTCTTCAAAATGAGGGACAACAAGCGCAGGACTGGGCAAGAGTTGATCTTAATGAGGTGTTGAAGCTTATGGAAGATCTGATTGAATACTTCTCACAACCTGAGGATGAGCAAGGTAGAATAAAATTCTTTCTTCGTGTCAGTAGCGAAAAATTTCTGCACAAAAATTTGCTCCAGATTTCGAAGAGAAGCAAAACCGTTTGCGAGCCCTACGATCAAGGCAAGATCTGTTCCAAGAGGAAGGAGTGCTTAATATGATTCTTGACACCATCGACAAATTCTCGCAAATGGAAGCACTACCAGATTTTGCCGGCCTTATCGGAGAGGAGACTCATGTAAGAAGCAGTATCCCTTAGATAAAAAGTGGAAATTTACTTTTCTAGGAAATGTGGGAAGAAATTGCGACCTATCTGTACCTATTGGTAGCAGCCATGATCAAAGGAAACCACTATAATTGCGCACAGTTCGCTGCAGCGCAAAGATTGGACTGGCTTTTCGGACGTTTGAGTAACCCGCAGTCAGCTGAAGGTAATTAAAATTCACAGTAAGCTGAGATAGAGAACAATTTTCTATGTATTCAGGAATCCTGGATGTTTTGTACTGTGTGTTGACCGAATCTCCAGAAGCCTTGAATATGATTAACGAAGGGCATATTCGTTCTGTGATATCACTTTTGGAGAAAGTTGGACGAGATCCAAAGGTGAGCGGCAAATGGCTTGTTTTTGGTTTTAAAGAATTGAGTCGAGTCTTAAAAAAATTTTATGGACGCGCGATCATTGTCGCAAAACTTGGAAACCCCAAATTTTTTTGAAGTTCTCTTCATTATTTACCCCGAATTCTCAGATCGCCGAATGCTGACGGTAGACCCCGGTTATGCCACTGTCCATTCACAGTTCATCTAATTTGATCATTTCTGGAATTAACCCTATGCCCAGACCGTAGTATTCACAAGCGGACCACTTATATACACTTACGTATATTGCGTGGAGGCGGTGGTTGGTCGATTTGAGAGCATTGTGTGGAAGAGAGTTGAGAATTGCACTATGACTTTTTTCGGTCACAAGTCATATGAGCTGCAGTTTGAGCAGTATCTTATTGTTAGTTGAGAACCTCCAATCCATTTCAATGTAAATAGTCCAGTCAAAGGCCCCCGAATATGCCATCGGTAAGCATTTCAAGCATGAAAAGGGGTGCCAAACACTTAATTTTTGTGAACCATCCAAGAATTCTAGTTTTGACCCTATCCTATTGTCTCGCACCATCCCTCGTTCTTTTCTTCAACCATTTTTCCCCAATGCTATACTTCTCAGGTCTTGGATGTGTTGTCATCATTATGCGAAGGAAATGGTATGGCTGTCAGGAGCAGTCAAAATCTTATTACCGAATATCTGCTACCTGGAAAAGATCTCTTACTACAAACAGCCATGCGGGATCACGTTAGCAGGTGCGTAAGTCTCAGATTGCTGTATTTTGAACAAGGAATGTTATTTTAGCATGATGCCAAATGTACTGGTTGGCGTAGTGGAAGGATCAGCACTCTTCCGACGATGGTATTTTGAAGCTGAAGTTGAACATATCGAGAAAATGACCAAGGAGGTGGAGCTTTGGGTTTCATTTCTCGAAAAATCTTCATTAAATGTTTGACTTTGTAGGACCCGTATCTGCGAATAGGCTGGGCCAATAGCAGTGGCTTCAAACCTTTCCCAGGATCTGGTGATAAGTGAGTGGAAGACTTTGACAGCTTATATGCTCCCTACTCTTTTGGAATTCTTTGCCTTTTTTGAATTGTTGTCTTTGACGTTTGACTTATCTTTCTAGATGGGGCTGCAACGGCATTGGCGATGACTTTTACTCATACGGTTTTGACGGACAACAGGTATTTTTTGCTGGAAAGGGACGAGTAGTCCACCCGCGAAAATTAGAGAAAGGCGACGTAGTTGGATGTGCATTAGATCTGAATGTACCGGAGATTAGGTATGAATAGTATCTGGATCTATAGGCATGTTGTGATACGTTCTTTAGATTCACCGTTAACGGACGTGATATCGGTGCAAGCTTCAGAAATTTCAATATCGACGGGTATTTCTTCCCTGTGATGTCTTTGAGTGCCAAAGTGAGGTGAGCAGCTGAAGAATCATGGTAAACTTCCCAATTGTAGTTTTCAACTTGAGATTTGATTTGCACTTTTATGCAGACTTCTCAAAGCTATTGCTCTTTCTTACAGCTGTCGCTTTATATTCGGAGGTGATCAGGGTCGACTCCGATTTGGACCACCTGGCGGATTTTCGGCTGTAGTGGAAGCAGTAAGCGGAGAGCTCCAGGTAATTTTTCGTACCGTTCTTTGATTGGATCTGTCCCCTGGTAAAGCTGCACATTTCAGATTTCTGATTGCCTATCATTTGGTGAACTACCAAAGAATATCTATTGCGGTCCACATACAATATTTTCGAGTATTGAGCCTTTTGTACCACAGCCAGTGGATATCAGGTACGGTTTATATATCTAACTTTTCGGACATGTATGTCGAGCTATAGGCTTTGAAACGTTTGTATCTTTTTGTTGAACTGAAATTTTTTTCGAAAGAAATGGACCTTTGAAGGAGTTTAGTCAAATAAAATGTGAGATTGATAATAGATTATAATGATTTGATTTTCCACATATTGTATGTAACCGACGGTATTCCATTTCGGCCTGTGAACACGAGAAGGGGTTACGGTATTTGTCATCAAATGAAAATAACGCTTTTAGCAATACCGTGCTAAGTCACCATGCAAACGAGATTCATCCGAAGTTTGCTGAAAATCTACATGAACTATGGGCTATGAGGAAAATAGAGCTTGGCTGGAGCTATGGCGAGACTCGTTCCGAAGCACAACGAAAGCATCCATGCCTGACTTCGTTCGATAATCTGCCGCAGACTGAAAAGCAGTACAATATCAATCTGGCACTGGATACCATGAAAACAATCGAAGCTTTGGGTTATCATCTGATCACCGACGACCCTCCGACGAGGCTTAGACCAGTGAGACTGGCACAGAAGTAAGAAAGAGTATAGCTGTTTGTCTACTGAAACTGTATCAAAGTCTTTCCCAGCTTCGTGCAGTCGAACGGCTACAAGCCTCAGCCTTTGGATACACATGAGATCACACTACCTGACGAACTGAATCCGCTGATAGAGGCTTTGGCCAAGAACACCCACAATGTATGGGCGAGAGAGAAAATCAAGAGAGGATGGACATTTGGCCTAAATGAAGTAGCAATTTCTACCTTCCCCAAACCTTTATTTCGTCTTGATACATTTTATTCAGTTTGTCGACTCAACCCAGAAGCGGTCACCACACCTTGTTCCATATGAAGAAGTTGACAACAGGATCAAGGAAGCGAATAGGGTACAGCAAGTTTCTTCGATTATTTTTCTGTCAGCGTTTTAGTCCCACAACGCAAGAATTTCAGGAATCGGCGGCTGAAAACCTACGAGCCTTGCAATTATTCGGTATATTTGTCGAACCACCAGCGCATGAACATGATGAATGTGAGGGCTTTCTTATTTTAAGACCCGTTTCACTTCTCCTTTTTTTGCCTTTTTCAACTTTTTTAACTTCATCTTTGAATACTTATTAGATCTTCCTGTATCGTAACTGTTTTTTTCTTAAAAGTACCTCATCTGTATTTGAGTTCTTGGTAAAAAAAAGTTTGAGCATGAAAAAAACATCAAATTTGAGATGCCGAAAAAGAGATGCATGCCCGTAAGGATATAACACGAACGTATCGAGCAGAGGCCACATATGCTGTCACCACAGGAAAATGGTAAGTTCGTCCTGCTTGAGATAACTGTTTTATCATTTGACACGAAGTGGACTTAATCTCTTAGAACTTGGTGTCTTTTCAAGGTGTGATTGAAGAAGTCTTATCACCTAGAAGTCTTAAAAAATTTTTTCTATCATTCTCGCACTATTATCGGCATTTTTTTGTTATTGTTGTTTGTTTGTTTTCTTTTTCATAGGGGCATCCCTATGCACAAATAAATAAATAAATAAATTTTATCAAGTTACCTACCCTGCTGGCAGCACAACGATATAGCCTCCGAGCGCTGTCTTTTAGGTACTTTGAGTTCGATGTCCTGACAGCTGGCTTCATGAAAATTGGTTGGATGGATGTTGGTGCCTCACCGGATATCCAGCTTGGCAATGATGATCGAGCATATGCATTTGACGGGTAATTTTTACTACTGCGCATTTTTTTCCGTTTAAAGGCTTGATTTAGGTATTTGGGCCGGAAGTGGCATCAAGGAGCTGAGAGCTACGGGAAGGAATGGAAGGTTTGTGATTGTGAGTAGTAATGTGTGTACATTTTGCAATTTCTAGATCGGTGACGTTGTCGGCTGCTTCCTGGATTTGAATGACCGGACAATTAGTTTCTCTCTAAATGGAGAACTTCTTTTGGTGAGCAATCTTTATCTCATATTTTGTGCGTAGGCTTCCTGTTAATCTAGACCTCGTAATTCTTATTGCTGGTTTTTTGAGAGATAGTTTGGGAGGATTTCGTTTGTTTCTAGGATCCGTCCGGGTCCGAGATGGCATTCGACAACGTCATGTGTGGAGACGGTTTGGTGCCAGCTATGTCCTTAGGAAGTGGTCAAAGAGGTGGGTATGGACTTTTTGGAGGAAGTGGACACTTTTTCTCATTTTTTATTTTCTTCGTCTTTTATTCTTGTTTTGAAATCCTTTTGCCTAGGACGATTGAACTTTGGTCAACAAAGCAATTCCTTGAAATTCTTCACCACATGTGGTCTACAAGAAGGATACGAGCCTTTCTGCGTGTAAGTATTCTGTCGTATTATTCTTCTACTGTATTTTTTACTTCATCAACGTTCATGTATGATTTACGAATTTCCATCTATCCTTTTCTTTGATTATTTGCTTCTTCAGAAATATGTATCGCTCAATGCCGATGTGGTTTGCAAAGCAACAAGCTCGCTTCGAAGATATCAGTCCCACTTCTCAACTGGACATTTCAAGGATCCCGGCAACTGGCAATAGCCCACCTTGTCTGAAGCTTACGCAAAAGGTTTGCGCTTATCTCTTACAATATTTTGTCGCTTCAAGTCAATGAATTTCTCAACAGTTTTATTGATTTTTGATCGCAGTTGTGTGCCTACGCGTGTTACCATGTGTAATTTTTGATTTAGGCAACTCTCACCGAAGGTGGACCATCTGAGAAAGCTACCATGGAGTATATTCGTCTTTCACTGCCTGTTAAATGCAACGAAACCTTCGTTAGAAACAAGTAAGTCGGTATATTTGGTGGTATAGGGGCTGCAAAAGCCCTCCAGTCATACCTTGACTCTTGATTTATCATGATAATGGCCCAATCGTTTTCTTTGCTGTATCTTTACCTATCGTTTTTCTAACGTCATAAATTAAAAGAATGAGTAAGTGTTTTTGAAGCTCGTCAGAGGACGATTCGCTAGACTATTGGAGGTGAGGGTTGACGCTTCTTGCCCTAAACGTTAACGCTGCTTTATGCGCCATCATTAATGTATTGGCAACGGAGCCATGTTGTTCTTTCTAGGGACAAAGAGGCGATAAGAAAAACACTAACCGATTACAAACCACCGCGAAGTATGTCCATGTCTGCAGCGGGTATTCAAACACCACAAATACCGCGGGAGTTCCAGGATACCAAAGATCGAAAGGTAAGTATCAGGCATAGTGCTCTAAATTTGGCATTATCTACTTCAGAAGTCGTTCATCGGCACAATGCTTGGGTTGAAGGACTCACGTGAGTCTGACGAATCGAGTCGGTCGAAACAAGCTTCGTTCGAAAATGATACAGATCATGAGCCGCTAGCTCTGAGGTGAGCGGGAGCAAAGAGTTCCTTAGAGCATGCTACACATGGGTGCAAGGGGTGTGTTTCCAATGAGTGAACGATAACACAATGAAGTCCCAAAAGTGGGAGGAGTCACTGCAAAAAATTTTCTCCCCGCTGTATGCGTCTTCCTACTAAGTCATTACCAAAGCTATTACATAATCAGTTCGTGACTGAGAAACCAACCATCTCGTCCAGTATCGTACTCGTGACACTGGTTAGTCCGGGTTACGGTATTGGGCGAGATTTTAATTCTGCCGCTTTGGCAACAGCTTAATTGGATCTCTGATCGTTTTTAACCAAAAGAAAAGATTGCTATTCAGATTTACATGGAAACTTCGAAGTGATGTTTTGTAAGGGCGGTTGCGGTTGAATTTGTCATTCTCAGTGCTTCGTAAATTACATTAGCAGTTTTCCGCTGTTACTGATATCAACTTCTCTTTCATCTTCCTGCTATTAAGGGGAATTTTTTACTATTAGCAGTGACTTCGCTCATTGACATTTTACTTTGCTCTATGTCAAAAAAGTGTCATTTTTCACCTGCACTATTCCATACCGTAACCTATACGTATACAGTAACCCAGATGAGTGTGTGTTCAATCCTTCAGTCAACGACGTAGAATACTCACGCTGATGAACTACGGACTATATTCGTTCGATGAATCCGTTCTGACATGGCTGCGTATGGAAGGCGAAGAGCGGGACTCGTGGTTGGATGCGATCAGGTCGAAAGCAGAATGCTCTTCTGCCTACTGTGATGTGGTGCTGTGTTGTCGACAGGTGTGGTGTGCATGTATGTTTAGCATGAAGTTATCTGGAAACTCTAAATACATCAGTTGCTAAAGTCATATCAGTCAGCAAACCTCTTTTGTGTCCAAAAAAGCGGAAATGTTCCACAGTCTTCGTATAGAGTCAAAGTTCAGGCAAATCTGGATGCCTACGCTTTTGATTTATTGGAAGTTCTTGAAGTCGTTACCCAAGCGACAGCTCATAATTCTTTTGGCTGAGAAGTTTAGCGATCTTGCCCATATCGTATCTCTCTAGCGGACCTCGTTTTTGGATACGTAGTGGACGATAGTTTGGAGATGAGTTTTTTGGTTACGAGTGAATCATATGAGCTGCCGCTTGGACAGTGGCATGGCTGAAACTTCCCAATCAGTATCCACATAAATAGTCCAGGTTTCCCAGAATTGCCTGCACCTTGCTGACCTTTCTGAAAAGGCAGCCGGTAGCGATTCAATACGGGATTACTGTGACGTACGGTAGTGCACACAGCACATCTTTTGTTCGGACATTCATAAGTAGATCAAAAAAGGCAGCTTTCAAAGTGGTGTAACTGTACTCTTTCACTGTTTCATCAAAAATTAGAAGCACAGAAATTCGCACCTAAGACTACAGCGCGAGGAGTGGTGAGAAGTTTTTATGTTTTGTACAATAAGTACGTTCTACGTATCTTAAGTTGGCTTACTTTTATGTTGCTCAAACCATGTCAACGCTGACGTAACATTCTTGTTCTTCAACTTCCATTTTCATCAATTCAAAAATGCAGAAGCTCAGAAGATAAAAATCCTTAAGCATGTGAAATATTGAGTTGCTTCTACAAACCTATCTATTCCTTCCTCTTCTTTACCTTTCTCCTATCTTCTTCTACCTATGCATGATATTTAAGGGGCTCATTGAATGAATTACCACAAGAGGATCGTGTCGCAGCTGAGGAACGTCTGAAGGAAATGGCAGATCGCGAAAAACCGCAGAAAAAAGGTGGACTGTTGAGCCGACTCCGAGACACCAGTCATTCAAGGAGAAATAAGTTGGTGCTTGCTGCCTGTTAGATAGATTCCTGCAAAAATAACCGCACTGTAAGATCATCTTTGACTGCAAAACTTTAGTATGGGATGAAGTAGATTTTCACGATCACAGTAATGGAATTCTTTGCAAATCTCACCAGAGTAACTCAGACAACAAAAATTAAATTGCCTCCCTCTAATGAACTCATGATAACTCTGCAAAGCAATATTTTACTAATGACCGACCAGAGTATGTCATACGACCTCTATTAAGGAAGTTTTATTTTCAGAGACAAGGGAAAAGACGACAAAAAATTGGGAAACCAGAAAAATAATTGGCGGTCATTCGACACAACAAGTGTGGATGCCTCTGACACGGGCGCTACTGCCCCTACAGGTCAGAAGGATGTTCTGGGTGAGCTTACGCTTTGCTAACTCTTGAACAGAATCTCACAATTGGTTACGCATTTGTTGTTAGAGTAATTTGAAAAAATCTATGCGGGTTGTAAACAAGTATTAGGTTGGCACATAAGTTTTGCAACTTCTCCCGTAACTTTTTTTCCTATTTTATGTAGCAATCTCATTTTGTGGCATCGTGTAGACCGTGATGTAAGCTGCAAGTCTGCGCAAACCGTTTGATTTTTGATATAGTACAAAAAATCTAAGCATTTTTTGAAAACTGCTGAAAATCGAGGTTTCACGATTTTTTGGCAAACATGAAGCCCTACGAAACCTGATTCAAACATATGATAAAGCAGTTATAGGCAGCATGTAGCTGGAAGTTGGCACATTGGACTAAGTGAAAAAGAAATGAAATTTGAACACAAATTAAGGTGGGGCGCCTTTGAGAATTTGAACAAGTCAAATGCGTCAAGTTTTGAAGGCAATTTGTCAATAACTAAGCTGCGAAAAGTCAGAATTCGCTATAACTTTGCACTACGGGGTAATCCTATGCGGCAAGCACCAGTATTATATTCATTTGTCGCTAAAATGAAATTCATCTTTTGATCTCACGAACGAGGCCTTTTCATGCGAAACGGATCTCATTTTTGTGATCAGCATGTCAGATAAGCCCTATAGGCCAAGTTTCAGCAAAATCTGTTGCATTCTAAAAATTTTTTACATAGTACCGTAAACCTACCGTAATCCTCACACAAGATGGTAAAATTCGGCAACTTTGTGTTCATTAGAAGCTTACATCATAATCCTTATATTGCCAAAATTTGAACGCGCTACGTTCAAAGAGACAAAAGTTATATAAAAAGTTGCATTACTTATGTGTCAACCTAATAAAAAATTTAATCGCGTTTTCATTACATTGTGCGAAAATGCATTTATTCAAAAAATGCGTTTTCGCAAACCTTTCATATAAAATTTGACTTGAGACAAGATTTTTTTTTTGTTTTTTGGCTTATTAGTTCACGCTTTCTTTTGTGAAGGTGTTTATGTTTTCTCCCGTCATCCAATTAATAATTCTATGAGTTCTGTAAATTACAGCTGGTGTATCAGAAATGCCATCATCTGGACCTGGACGTCAGCCAACAATTCGCAGATCTTCCTTGAAACCTACCAAAAAGAAGAAGAAGGATACCTCAGTAACCATGGAGAAGCGCGGTTCTCAAGTGCCTATCGAACTTCCTATGGAAATCCAGCACGAGCATGACGCACAAGCTTTGCTTGATAACGCTGAACAGGTGCTTGGAATTCTAAAGATTCCAGAAGATCAGCGTGAGAAATTTTTTATTGTAGGTCGATGAGTACTACTATGGAATTCGCATCTTTCCTGGACAAGATCCAAGCCAAGTATGGGTCGGTTGGGTAACAACACAGTATCACTATTATTCGCCCACCTTCAAGCCTGAAAACGTTGAGAGGAGGTGTTTGTATGTGGAAAACATGGAAAGGTGAGTATTCTGATATTAAGTGTGGTAATTTTTTTGGTTTGTATTTTCACCTTATTCAGCGTTGAATTCCGTAACTGTTACATGATGAATGCTGCAGAGTTACTATCACATGTGAATGATGCAACAAATACCAAGGTGATTACAGTAACCCTTTCTGGTAAAAATCTCAGATGGTAACTTTTTTGTCCAGGTATCTGGTACCCTAATTGGTTGTATTATTGACACATCAGTTGGAGAGCTCACCTTCCAAGCTTCGGGGCAAGATACCGGCGTCAAATTTATGGTGAGCCAGAAGTTCTCTCTTGTCTACCGTAATTTTACAGTATCCTTTGGCTAATGAGTCGGTTTTAGCTGGAACCTGGCGCTATGCTATTCCCAGCCGCCTTCTTCACTCCGACAGCCACTGAAATTCTGCAGTTTGAGTTGGGGAGAGTTAAGGTCAGCTATACCGCAGTTTAGAGCTTCTACCGTAGCCAAACTGTCCATTACAGTATACCTTCCCAATCTCGGCTGCAATGTTCAAGTCCTGCCACAAATCGCTGGTGCCATTCTGTCCACCACGGCTTACTGTGGAATCCTTGGATCCCGTGCATTGGGCTCGAGTGCCTAACGAGACCCTAAGGACTACAGCGTTGAAACTGAGCGATATAAGAGGTATACTTCTAGGCAAAAATCAAGTGGTACAAGAGCCACTGGAATTTGTTCTTGAAGTTGTCCTCAAAATCTTGTTCCAGGATGGTCAGTCCTTTGCGATGACCCAGTAAGAATTATGGCTGTCTATGTCCCAGAAAAGGATATATCATTTGACATACTCGAGATGATTGAAAAACCGACATACCTGGACTTCCATCGGCAAACATTGAATCTTTACTGTAAACTAGCGAGCCATGGCAATCAGAAGGTAGTTTGGTAGCAAAGGGGTTGAAAGCTGAAGATTGGTATATTTCAGGTGGCTCATATCCTCTGCGGTCATGTAGATGAGGATCAAATTATGTATGCTGTCAAAAGTCATTGTGAGTTCTGGGAATTTCTCGTCTTTTTTCAGTCAGAAGTTTTGATCGTTTAGAAAAGCTACGAATAACAAATCAAATAAATAAACTCCTGTTATCTCTTCAGACTTATCGGGACCCATGCGACAGGGTTTTCACGACCTTCTTATTGCTCTCCATCTTGATTCCCATGCCACAGCTCGTCAGTCGATGAGAAGAGAATATGTGATTCCGCTATGTGAACAGCTACACAATGAAAACGTCTTCGATCCGGATACTGAGACCAGGTCAGCTTGTTTTTTTTTCAACCTGAGCTATGTGATGTCCTCCTCCCCCTTCCACTCAGAGATAAGACGCAAAATTTGTAGTCCAAAAGAATAAATGGGTGATCACAAACATGCCTGAAAGCTACCGTATTCCCGACCATGATAAGTTACCGTAACAAGCGTCCAGCGTACGTTTTATCTTGTTGTTTCATTGGTGGTATGAAAAAATACTTACGGTAGCTACTTGGTAAAAGATTGGGACTTTCATTTCTACCCACAAGATAGAAATAGAGATGAATTATCAAACAGCATCACCCTTGCAGACGTTACCAAGGACCGTTTTGGTTGGTTGGCTTACTTCATAATCTTATACCATTGCAGATTCCCTCAAATCATGGGTGAAACATATTCCATGCTTCCGGTAATGGTTGCAGAACCTGTAAAATCAAGGTTAGATAGGATTCTTTTCCTAAACTCAGCTAACTATCTTCGAAATCTCGAAAAATGATTCTTAGCTTTACTCGAGAAGAGGAAATGAAGCTGCTGCCACCCGCAATCAACTTTGACGCTCTAAAAGCACATGTCATGACCGCTATGGAAACTGCTACTAAACACGCTGTGATGAACTGTCGTGACCTCATTGGTGGCGACGACCGCAATCATTTTGAGTGAGAATCATTTACCTTGAGTGAAAGCACATAACCTGAAATTTACACGAGTTTCAGGCCACTTCTGAAGCTTTTTGACTCTTTGCTCGTCATTGGTCTAATAGATGATCCCGAACTGGAAGCGATCTTGAAGCTCATACATCCGGCTGCATTTGACCCGACTTATGAGCCAGGTAAGAGTTTTGGGACAGTATAAGTATGGCTAATTGGATACGGTCATTTTCAGGTACCACCAATAAGGGTTTAACTGAGATCGAATTGTCCGAGCCTGTGAAGGTTCAGCTTGTTAATATCATTGATCACCTCTGTGATATACAGGTGAGAAACTTTCTTGACGTAATGATTTCATTGATTTATTGATATTTTTGCAGCTTCGACATCGCATCGAGTCCCTGATAGGCTTTTCTGAAGGATTTGTTGCAGAATTACAGCAAGATCAGTGCAAACGGTAGAAGACACTCCCATTTTTGCATCCGGCAATTTATGTTGTGATTTTAGTTACATGGATATCAAACAAACGGATATGCCACCGGCTGAGGCTGCCAAAAGAACTAAAGAGTTCCGTTGTCCACCGAAAGAACAGATGTTCCGCCTGCTACAATGCAAAGTCGTCAGTGCATCGTCTTCGGTTTTCAACTCGGTCTTGATTTATTTTAGGTAAAAGACGAAGAGGCCGATATTCTAGAGGATGATGTGGAGTACGATCAATGCCCAATGGCTGAGAATTTGCAGGAGCAATTACGGTAATTTGCAGTCGCTAGTACGGGAACCCCCCCCCCCCCCCAGACGATGAATTTGCAGAGATTTCTGCGCGCTGCTTGTTGCAAAGATCGGAAATACGGATGAAGTAGAAGACGATGAGCGGCAAAGTCTCATTGAGGCAGAAGATGGCTCATGGGTAACTTGATCATACTTTAAAAAATACCATAAAGTAGATTGGCAGATGAAATTGTTTGTTTTTAGGTTGACTCGTTAGCCCGTCTGGTGGTAGCCGTTCCACCTCCTCCACCTCCAGACGAGAAAGTCCTGGCAACAAAGAAAGGGACTAGAAATTTCAGGTGGGGTTATTAATACTCATAGGTGTTTGAAAATTATGAAAAATTTTTCTTTGGCACATCGACCATGAACACCGAAACATCATTTTATTTATTTTTTCAGAGACATGGTGGTTAATATGCTTCGAGACTGGGCATTAGGAGCCTTTATCGAAAGCAATGAACTGATTCGTAAAATGTTTCACCTGTTGTTGAGGCAGTACTCCGGAATCCGAGAAGTAAGTTTTAGCGATTTTCAGGAACTTTTGAATTTTTCGATGATATCAGTTCATAGATCATTCTTGACAAATCTTTCGTATGCCTATCAGTGGATCTTTCTGTCAGCAATTTTTGATTTCCATCGACTGTATAGAGAACATTGTGGGCAAGTCGATTTTCATTTCAGTTGCAAGAAGCCATGGAACAGACATATGTCTTGCATGAGCGGAATAACCTGGATGTGCAAGACTTCATCATCTACCTGATCCAGATACGAGAATTGCTTACTGTCCAGTTCGAACACACTGAAGAAGCAATTCTGAAGAGAGGACTATGGTAGATCACAGCCCCTTTTTGAATTGTTTGGTATCTCATATGTAATTTGCAGGAAGCTAATGAACAATCGTATTTTCTTCCAACATCCCGATCTCATGCGTTTGCTATCAGTCCATGAGAATGTGATGTCTATAATGATGAACATCTTGACAGCTCAACAAGGCGCTGTCGAACATGAAGGAGAAGAGCTTAAAGAGAAAGCACCTGTCAAGGTATGAGACTAATTATTTCAATCCTCTATTTACTGATGAAAACCATTTAGGACTCTTCCGAAATGGTGGTTGCATGCTCCAGATTCCTTTGCTACTTCTGCCGCACATCAAGGCAGAATCAAAAAGCAATGTTTGAGCATCTCTCCTTCCTCTTAGACAATGCCACTATGCTCCTGGCTAGGCCAAGTCTGAGGTAAATTCAATAAAATAGGTTTGGTGCTCTATTGCAAAACCTTTGCTTTCAGAGGCTCAGTTCCTCTTGATGTAGCTTATTCATCCTTCATGGACAATAATGAATTGGCTCTGGCACTGAAAGAGGAAGAGTTGGACAAAGTATGTTAGAAGTTTTTTTTTCACTGATGAGATCAATATAATCCTATTCAGGTAGCCGTATACTTATCGAGATGCGGACTTCAACCAAACTCCGAGTTGACTGCTAAGGGTTACCCAGACTTGGGATGGGATCCAGTCGAAGGAGAAAGGTGCCTTGACTGCTCGTAGAGACGCTAATATGATGGATATGGCCCTTTTGCACTGCTACCGTAGTCATGCGCGACTGCAACGGAGCGCAGTCGAGTTATCGCTTGCGGCATTACGCATGTGCTTTACTACTAAAATAGCTTAGACCAACAACACAGTTCAATGTTGTCCAAGAGAAGGTAGTTATGTAGATGAGTGCAAAAGGGTCCTTTTTGACCTTGTTTAGTGTGTTCAGTTTGAATCCCCTTATTGCAGATACATTGACTTCCTTCGCTTCTGCGTCTGGATAAACGGCGAAAACGTCGAAGAAAATGCTAACCTTGTAATTCGACTGCTAATTAGACGCCCCGAATGCCTTGGTGTTGCGCTGAAAGGCGAGGGTCAGGGACTGTTTGCTGCTTTTAAGGTAATAAGCTGTAAGATTATCATTCCTTTGGCTGTCTGAACTTCTCCTTATAGGAAGCCATCGCACTTTCCGAAGACATTCGTCTTCTAGAGGAAGAGGGAGAGAACGCTACGATGTTCAAAAGTGGACTGCTAGGAGAATCACCGTGAGTATAGCTCTATTTGTTTGCTTTCAAACCATCTGAAGCTTTCAATCAGCTATGATTTTTTCAAAAGTGAGAAAGTGCATTTGTTGTAACATCAGTTATTCTAAATTGCTAGATGACAGGCCGTGCAGTGGAATTACGGTAGAATTCGTATCAAAAATGATCGTTTGATACGGTCAGCGTAGATTTTTTGCTGTCTTTCTAACCCTTCAGAAAAGCTTTGAAAATCATTATATGGAACATTGAAGTTTTTAGCTACCGTAAATTACGCTAGCTTGGTGACTTCGATTTTTTGATATGGTATTTTAGATCCTACCCCTCAAAAGAGGCAGAGGGTGAAGATTACCTCGATTTTGGAGCTGCAACCCTTGATTTCTATTCTTCCTTGGTGGATCTGTTGGCAAAATGCGCACCTGATCCAATGGCCATCCAGGTTCTTCTAAGTCTCTAACTAACCTCATACTGAGATCAAACAAAGTGTCTTCTAGGCCGGAAAAGGCGATTCACTCCGAGCGCGAGCCATCTTGAGATCTCTGATTTCTCTCGATGACCTGGGACAAATTCTGAGTCTCAGATTCACCATACCAAATCTCGCGTTGCCAACGACTGATGGTGAGTCTCGTCCATTTCTTGACCCCACTGACTAACATGCTAACAGCCCTTTACTAATACAATCACAGTTCGCCGTCGATCATTCGCTAACTCTCATCAGCATAACGTTGGGATAACCCATTCCTTCGCTCATGTCGTGGCTTCGCATTCCGCGAATCGCGATCGCCAGCAGTTGCTACAGAATTCGACGTCGACTTACTATGGGCGGCTGTCGCAGCTTCGTGAAGAGGAATCGGACACCGAGTCAGATTATGGATCAGTGAAAAGCTCGCTGGATGAGCTGGAGTCGAAAAGCAGCGATCGAGCAACGATGCCCATCGGGGCGACAGCGTCATTGGAGAGATCTGGCAGCAAAAGGAGCAAATGCAGTGATATGGAGTGTGAGCTCTTACTAACAAAGTTTGCTGTGCTTTCACAAGCTAATTTTCTGACTTTTTCCTCTGAACTTCTCCTCAAATGTCGTCAAAATTCGAGAATGGAATTCAAAATTATACTACGAAATTTGCAAGCTGCGTTCTTGTTGTTTGTTATAATTCTCTTTCAATCGCACCGCAATTTGGCAATTTGCTAGATATTTACAAATCCTCTGAGTGCAAATCTCCAGTATGTCGACGCAAAGTTTTTTCTAACAAGGGAATGGTCAGAAGTCGAAGTGGCCAATCCATACAAGCTGCATATTATTAGATGCAGCAAACGATGACTGTAAATCTGTCCTTCTTATCTGCAAAGCGCTTTTGTGGACGAAATTGTAAACATTTGAAAGTCATCATTTTGCTAAGATATTGTGCGTGTGAAGTGCAAACTTGGCTGTACAAAGCCATTCTTGGCTCAGTGCTGGACCAAAACATGCGACTAGGTCACCTCATATGACCCGTACCTGGAGGTGAGCTGAAAGAGCAATAATGTGCCCAATTTCGCAATATTTGCACACGGCTTTTTCCCAGTAAAGTTGCTCATAACTTCGCCTACAAAGGCGCTCTGGAAGACAAATTTGATATCAGCATTCTATGCTGCATCGAATGGTATGCAGCTTGTATGGATTGGCCACTTCGACTTCTGACCATTCCCTTGTAAGACGTCGTTTTCACAATCAAAGTGTTCAACAAACCGCAAACAACTGGCAATGCAAAATCGCGGTGCGCCTTTGCGCGATTCCTGCCTCAAATCGCATAACATCTACTGACCTTTGCCATGATAAAAAAACCTTTTCTGTTTTGAATCCCCTCCTGAAAGGCTTCCTGTTAAAGCTGTTACCAATAGAAAGCATCTGAACTTTAGATAATGGCCCATTACCTGGATTGTTGCCAAATCACAAAGGATCCGTGCTCTTATTCCTGGATCGAGTATACGGTATCGACTCGCAAGATATGCTGTTCCATTTCCTAGAACAGAGCTTTTTACCTGATCTCCGTGCTGCGACAATGATGGACTCGGTATGTTTGGTCACCTCAATTCACAGTACTAACTGCCGTTTTCTTCCAGCCGAGAGCACTTGAATCTGACACAGCGTTGGCCCTAAATCGTTACCTTTGCAATGCTGTTCTTCCTTTGCTGACTAACCATTCCCACTTCTTCGCCGATGCCGAACATTATGCGGCTCTGCTGGATGCGACTGTCCATACTGTAAGTGCCACTGCAAGAAATTTGTTCAGAATAAAAATGATTCATTAAGGTATATCGCATGAATCGTTTGAAGTCTTTGACGAAGAACCAACGAGAAGCTGTCTCTGACTTCTTAGTGGCGATTACTAGAGAGATTCCACCAGGAATGATGGTCAAGCTGCTTAGAAAAGTAAGATTCAAAGGAATCCTGTCGATCTCTATGCGCTTAAGTCCTAGACTCCTTTTAGTGATAAATTTTTTTAAAGTCTTTGTTATGTTTTTTTATCGCTTTTGGGGAACGGACGTTCTGGTTCTAGGTCATCGTGGATATCCAACAAATCAGCGACATGACTATTCTGGTGCCATTGAGGGTAAGTTCTATACACACTTATATTTTTTGAGTTCGGAAGTTGTTATTCTAGCTGATAACGCTGCACTATGAACGTTGCGGAAAGTACTATGGTAATGGAAATCAGTACGGTGTAGCTACTGAGGTTGAGAAGCGCTTGTCTATGTTGTTGTTCTATGCAATCTTTGACTCTTTGGGTAGCCGACCGTACGACCCGGATTTGTTCGGAAAGGTCAGCTTTTCATGAGTTACTAAGCTACTTCCAGTGCCTTACCTGTATGGTATTCAGGCGCTACCATGTTTGACCGCTATCGGATCAGCTATCTCGCCCGATTATACTTTGACTGTGGGTGTGGAGGAAGCGGCAAGACTAAAGGTTTGGCACGATTTACATTCTATTTTCTTACACAATATTCTTAACTAAAAATTGTATAACATTATAGGATCCTATGGACGACGGAGCCTGGATACCAAAGACGGTAGACATCTCGCGCATCGACCTTCCAAGAGATCTACAAGTAATGACTGACGCTTTCGCTGAACATTTCCATGATTCGTGGGCCACAAGGAAGGTGAGCATAATACAACAAATAATCGGTTATAGGTCTGAGGAAGTCACTAATCGCCTAAGCGATGCATACAAAAAAGAAAGTTAATAAATAAGCAAATGGGCAGGTGTGAGAATAGAAGTTCGCTTAAATGAAACTATCCAAATTGCGCGAATTTAAGAAAAAAGGAACGAAAAAAGAAATGCTTGCCCAGAATGGATTTTACGCAATTATCAGATTTTCTGAATACATTTAGCTCTTTATTAGGGAGTAATATTTACAGAAGTTAGTTCCGGTTGAAAAGAAGTGTCTCATTTTTTTTTCAAAAATGATTTTTGAGAATATTATATAGTAACTCGGAGACTCATTGCCTGTTCTAGAAATAATACGAAAAGCCTAATTTATATAATGAAATGATTGCGATCTAAATTTCAGCTTGAAAAAGGCTGGACTCATGGAGATTTCTACTCTCGACAGCAACTCACACATCCACGTCTCAAGCCTTTTGGAATGCTGAAAGATTTTGTAAGTTTTTTTTTTACTTTTGTTAAGTTTTGCGAACTTGAACCGTTTTGAAATCGGGGTTTTTTCACAGGAGAAAGCCTTCTACAAGGAGCGTTGCTCGGAGTGTCTGAAAGCTCTTGTAGCCTGGGGTTATGGATTCGAGTTGGCTGACCGCGATGCTGCCGACAGAGCTGCCAGTGCCCATACACCATCGGGCACTTCGATACAGAATTTTGCTCCAAAGCCTGTTGATCTGTCGAGCATGACATTGGAGAAGGTGAGATTGAGAAAAATTTTCCGAAAAAAGACTTCATACTGTTTTCTTTGTAGGATATGGTCGGTGCTGGAGAAAAAATGGCGGAGCACTCCCACTTGATCTGGGCGAAAAAGGTGCGCACAGTTTCATCAAGTCTTTGTTTTCTATCACTGCTCTTTTATGAAATTCCTCTGAATGCAGATGTGGTCCGAGCTTAACACCAATGGCGGATTTTTACCCACAGCTCTTGTGCCATGGGATCTCTTGACAGACTTTGAACGTCGAAAAGACCGTTTCCGCGCAACTGAGATCTTAAAATTCTTACAATATCATGGCTATCATGTGATTAGGTGGGTTACAAAGCCATTAATAGTTAGAGATAGTTCGAAGATGAATCCTGATTTCTAGTCCGCAAGTGGAGCAGAACTTGGAAAGAAAGAATGAGGTAGAACGTTCGTCAGTAGAGAAAAGGTGAGCATTTATGACCTTCAATGGATTTTGGCTGAGAAGAGTGTAGATATCTCAATCGTGTGTATTCAGATTTGCCTACAATCTTTTGGAAAAACTCATTCAATACCTTGAACAAGCGAGTCTGAAGATGAAGTCCATCAAACCTAGTCAAGAGCTCACCAGAAGAAATACGTTCAGAAAAGAAGGGCAGGACGTGAAATTCTTCGAAAAAGTAAGTTTGGCGAAGTTTTCTCTACAGGGACGAGCTGCACTAAACAAAATTCAGGTCGTTCTGCCTCTGATGCATGCCTACTTCAATGCCCATAAAAATTACTTCCTAGAAGGGTCCAGCATTGTACAGACGGGTACAGCCAGTAATCGTGAGAAAGAGATGGTTGCCAAGTAAGTGGTTCTTCTATGACTTTTTTTATGTAGCTCAAATTTATTTGCAGTCTGTTCTGCCGTCTAGCCTCACTACTTCGAATCAAAAATCGTGCTTTCGGAAGCGTAGCGAAGATTACGGTGAAATGCCTGCAGGGACTTACGCAAGCGTTGGATCTCAGGTAAAGATTATTTGCAGCATAAATCCAGTCAAACCTAGCATAAAAATTTATCTTTCAGAACTTTGGTCAAGGTTAACTCTGACATTGTTCGTACGTCGCTGCTTACGTTCTTCAACAATTGCGCTGATGATCTTTTCGCAGCAGTTAAAGAACTCAAGGTAATTGTTTTTTTTCAGTTTTTTTTTCACCTGAACTGAAATGGCTTCGTCACACTGTTGCAGGAAAATGGGCAATACTCACTTATTCGTGGGCAAAACCTGAGATCGTGGATTTCCCTAGAATTTGCCCATCAAATGATCATCCCTGTACTTACGACAATGTTTGGACATCTTGCACGTAATCACTTTGGAACAGATCTTTTGTGTAAGTTGTCTGAAACCTAGCTTTTACATTTTCTCCACATTTTCTTGATTTGTAGTGGATGACATCCAAGCGGCATGTTACAAGATCCTGGACTCGTTGTATATGGTTACTGGGTTATCATCTACTGCAGCACAGAGAAAAAGCATTGGATTTGAAACTGACAAGTGAGTTCATTTTAAGTCATAAGGTCATTGAAGTTGTAGCGTTCCACCTATTTTTAATTTGGTAAACAAATTGTGCGCGAAAATCAATTGGTTTTCCACGGAGAAACTAGCGTGATCATTGTTGAACCACTTGAGAGCATACTAATGTGCGTATAAATAAGTAGACGATTAAAGTAAATAAATAAATGATGTATATCACATTTTCTCATGATTTCGTTCCAAATTTTTGGAAAATGTGTAATTCTGCTATGATCTTAACAAAATCGACTATCGAATAGATTTTCGTTGTTTGAAATCAAAATTATGGTTTCATGATGTCGAATTGATAGATATCATAAATGCAAACCTTACAATTTTGGCGAGACACATGACACAAAATATACCGACGCAATGTGTTTATTGCCAAGTTAGCTTTAATAGTCGTTGTGCCTTTGGGTAAATAAATTCTAGTAGGCTCGAGAACTTGATTCATAGTGGAAAGTTAGTACTGAATCATATCTGAACTACAGGCATCGTCCCGGACTTGGCCAATGTCTTTCGGCGTTCGCCTCGTGCTTCCCCATAGCCTTCCTTGAGCCTGAGTTCAACAAAAATAACAAGTACTCAGTTTTGGCTAAATCCCAGGAGCAGTCGGTGCAAGTGCAAGGTGAGACGATTGTTGCCCAACCAATATGCTCGTACTAATCTTTGGATAATTTAGAAATGCTGCAAAATCTATCTACTCATATCCCACACATCGAAAAGTTGCTCTCGGATATTGAACAGGTACTATTGTATCTTGCGCTGAAAAATTTCATTTTTTCATGTTGATTCCATTGTGACCAGTTTTGTGCAAAGTGTTCCTACAATTTCACTGACACCTGTGAGCAGCGCGGTCTTAGCTGTCCGCGTATCCTCATCCTACATTTTTCTCTGCAGTGCGAAGGCTAGCCGCGTTGCCGCACTTTACTCACTGTCTGCGTCGATGAATCACCTCTATCTAATTTTATAGGTTGCCAATAATGGAGTAATGTACGCCGAACAACCGAACATCTACGATGTGGACCTACCCCTAATGTGCTCATACCTCGCTTATTGGTTCAACGTCGGCCCGGATAGTCGCAAAAACGAAAAGGGCGCCGATGAAAAGGAACATCGTCAAACGTGCGTTGATTGTATTCCAGGCTGAATAGAGTTGAATCGGCCCTTTAGGCTTCCGATGACTTCGGTTAACGCTGACCATCTGAACAGAATCTTCTGCGCACTGTTGAGAATGGTACGGAACCATATTGGTGTCGAGAATGCGCCTTGGTTGTGCCGAACAAACTGTGAGTCATTTTTGCCATAAGACTTTATTTTTGAGAATTTTCCTAATTTAGTCTTTGCTGTGCAAATCATTCAAAATGTCACCTGCGATCCTGTGAAGGATTATGTGCTCCCAATTGCCGAACGACTTCGCAGAATGAGTGAGAAAGCATTCCGAGAAGAAGAACATATGCGAACGCATCCGGACGATGCCGATGAAGGCACTGTAGCTGAGGTGAGTGCTTACGATTAGCTCCCATCTGAGGCTGTGTCAGCGCCGTGTCAGCGCAAGCGGAACCCGTACACGCGCCTGTATTGATTGATCGACGTTCCAGCGAAGTTAGCGTGCGCTGGCACGGCGCTGGATCGACGCTGGCACAGCTTTGACACAACAGCTGCCTAACCCCCAGGCCTGGCAACGAATGCATAATGCTATTTTTTCAGGACAACGCAAGGCTTGTGAGAGACACCTATGCTTACTTCCCCATCCTGATGAAGTACACTGATCTTCATCGTGCACAATGGTTGAAGGTACGTTCAATATTTCTAGAAGTGTATCGGTGGGCGGAGGGGGGAGGACGGGGAAGCGGAGAATGCGTTGAAGGCCGAGTTTGTCCTCTTGCCTATAAAAGTGAAAATTTGGATATCCTCTTTATCAAAAAAAAAAAATGAAAAATTGATTTCCTGCGGTGAATTGAATACTCGTTAAAAATTTTTCTGGAGAAAATCGTGAGAGCGGAAAGTTTTTAGTTTGATTCTGTTTTGGCTTTCATTGAGAATGATTTAGGCTCCATCTTGGGAAACCGATGGCGTTTACGAAAATGTTGCCGTTATTTTCCGCATATGGAGTCAAAGCCAACATTTCAAGGTATTCCGCGAAAAACAAACTTTCTTCTTCTGTTTTTCCCGCAAATATTCCATATTCTGTTCAGCGAGAGGAGCTGAACTACATGGCACAATTCGAAGAAGACGCATCTATGGTTGGCGGAGAAGTGAAGACCGGCAAAGCGGCGATTGCAGAAAGAAAGAAGAAGCGACGAGAAGGCCAGGTAGAAATAATTTCTTTGTGGAATTCCACATAATACCGAAATCCTCGTCACATCATATTTTGCCCCTTGCTTGTTAGTTACGCGAACCGAAAGATCCGAAATGTCGGTCGGTAAGTCGATGTCGTAAACGTGGTGCGAATACATGCCAGTGCATGCCAGCAGAATTCAGAACTCTTGGAAAACTACAAACTAATTCCTTATGCAGTTTCAGGTGAAGAAGGACAAGCATGCGAACAGCATCGTCATAGCCTGTTTGAAGAGGCTATTACCAGTTGGACTGAATGTTTTCGGTGGAAGGTTGGTGCTTTTGTATTTCTTGTCTTACTGTATAGATACCCGAGTTTTCTTATGTGGCTGATTGCGAGGAAAAAGTAACTGTAGGTTGTAACCCTTCCTTTATGATCGAGTAGTTGAGTTCTAAACTCTTGCCCAAACCGTACCTGCTATACTTGAGGAGGCTGATTGTTCGCGGGAAATTTTGTCTGGTCGTTTCGTAGTGGAATATTTCGTCCATGAGTGAATCACATTATCTGTCATGAGGCTTATAGTCAGAGACCTCCTCCACCATTCGAAGAAAGTTCGCTAATCCAGAAGTGCTTTAGAAATTGAAAAAAAAACTGTCGGGGGAAATTTTTGAAGCTCTTATCGACTTACCTTTTACAGAGAACTAGACATCGTTCAACAATCAAAAGAGAGATTCCTGCAGAAGGAGCCTGAGGATAAAATTCGAGAATTCATCAAAGGATTACTCGAGATTCCTATAAAGGTATTAGACGGTTATTTTACTTTTTCTGCAGTACTATTAGCTGATTTTTCCAGACTGATCCCACGGATAAAAATGCATGGCAATTGTCCCTGTATCGAAAAATTGGCAAAAGTCAGATGAGAGGAAAGAACGAAATGACACAAGATGCGATTATAGAAAAGATTTTCAATATGGGGCAAGTATCCGCCATATTGCATACGGTATGTCTTTTTTTTCTCTTAGTTTCATACTTTATTTTTACTATGCGCTATCGATTTGTTATCGTTCTTTTATAGTCCCCTTTTCCAAGCATTTAGTTGAATCTACTCTCTCCACTTGAGAAGAGAGAAATTTTGTTGAGTATACTTCCTCTTGTCAATGTGGAAATTTAGTTTCGTCCACTCAATAATGATTACTATGTTCACAACGCCCGCGTCGGTTATTTTCCTTCACAACTTTTTTCACGCAAATTCAATTAAGATAGCGCTGCTCTGCTTTTATAGCCAAAAATCGGTGAAAAAAGTAGACGCACCTATCCGCTTTGCCGCTTGCTGTGTGATTTGGTGTAGAAACAGTAGCGCTAAATTATAGAGTGCCCAGATTGACACCTGTGGATTTTAATGTATTTTCTTTTGTTTTTCATGTCCTCGCCTCGCCTCCATGTTCGCCTGTTTGTGGTGTTGTGTTCGTATTAACAATGTACGTCTATCTGCTTTAGGTTATGCGTTTGAAGGATCGTCACAAGCTCAGGAGTGCCTTTAAGGTGTGGTGTCGTATTCGTCGTTGTCCTTTCTGTTACTTTTTGTGCATTTGGATTACTGGAGACATCAGCACTCAGAGCTGTAAATTCAAAACTTTCTTTTCGTATTACTAAAATTATAAATTACAACTGGCCCGATTTTATCAACATACTCCTCACAAAGAGAAAAGTTCTTTGTACGAAGCATGATACCAATTCTTTTTTGAGTAAAAGTTCGGTTTTGACTTGGTCCTTTTAGAAAATCACGTCATTTTTGAACGAAAATCTCGCCAGAATCCGGACATGGTTTCCTCCAATTAACACGCTCAAAAATCCATCTGCAAAAGTTTTAAGACTTCAAAAAGTTAGAAGTGTGGAATCAATCGCAACTTTTGATCTACAGCATTCTGATTAGTAACGAATATCGCTGACCAATTATAATCAAGTTAACCTGATTTCAAATGCATTTCATGCACTAGTACTAGAATGAGATGAGTACACATAGCTGACAGCACCTTTTTGCATAAGTTGAGAATTGTAAACCTTTAGATTAGTCTGCATGGCAATTCACGCAGCAATGCGTTTCAAGCGGGTGCGTTAGATAGTCACATTATCCCTACAGACTGTGTGATTCACTCTAAAGGCTAAAAATTATGTTAAAAAATTGTGTACCCTTTAAAAGCTGATGAAAACGAGACCACATAATCTTCACCTTTATAAGCCGCACCCAAAAGGCGCTGCTCGCAAGAGTAGCCGACCGCAACGCAGATGGAGTCGTAAAGCGGTCACTATACAGCACTTCGTGTTACTCAGAGTTCTTTGAAATATGGCTGGATGGGCAGGGCATTAAATACCAATACCAAAAACTGCACAGTAGCCTATCAGGATTCACCTCTTTTTGCCATGAACCTCCTGCCCCTGCCTGCATTGCCCTCAGGGTGCGGCTTATCTGCAAAGTTTGCGTTAAATCATACCAATCCATGCTCTTACACTTTTCCATGGCCGTTGCTAACTTAGACGCTTATTTCGATTACGCTACATTAATTTTCCAAATCTACAGTACGAACGTCCCATGCTGTATCTCAATGATGGCTATAAAAAAAATGTAAGTTTTGGTGGCCGTTTCGAACGTAATCGCTCCTGTCCCGTAAACCATTCACGTTCCCTTCGACGCACTAGTGTTTCGAACGATGCCTGGCCTCTCCGACTTTCTCATAACATAGATCTTTGCTAAATGTGTTTTATGCAGTGACTGTGCCACTCGTGTGCGAGAATCCTGTCTGTCATGGATTGAACCGAGCGGTAGCACTTTGTTATTCTATGGAACAGTTAGGCAAAGCTACACTGGAAGGCGCCTCTGTTTCGATAGCGATAGTGGTGTGATATTAGTACGCAAGAGAAGCGATGTCAGTAGCTCAGAATGTGTGAGCGGCGGCGGTAAATCTAGTTTTTCTGATTTCTGACTCATCTTAGAGTCATATATACTGTTCTTTGCTATGAGTATCGTAGAGTTTTCGTAGAACCAGCATGTTAGAATACATCTGTGACACGCAAGTAGATCTTACCGTGATATTGCGGAGACAAAGAGTGAAGTAGCCCAGTAGTGGGTATCTCACTTTTTAATGAAAAGGTTCTACGTTGAAGCTGAGTTTGGAGCCCCTGTCAGCGCCGTTCCAACGGCGCTCCACCGCCGTGCCAGAACTGTGCCGGCAAGCTCTTCATCAGCTCGTAGTACGCTCAGAAGGATGGTGGGTGCGACGCTGGCACGGCGGTGGAGCGACGCTGGACCCGCGCTGGAATGCCGTCGGCGCTGTACGGCGATTCTAAGCGACCTGCTACTTTTGACTTAACCTAGCATGTCTTACAGGCAAATCTGTCTAGATTACGATTGTGCTTCAGAGAAAAGAGCGCTTACAGTCATTGCAACAGCTGATGAAATCTTCATATATAGATGTTTACAAAGAGCTTTAGTAGGGAAATTATGAAAGTCATTCAAATAGCTGATCAATGTAGTTTAATTTTTTTTTGCATTACCGTATATCACTGATCACAAATGGAAGCTAAAGACGCGGGTTTTTCAAGTTTCTGAGAATTCTTCTGGTCGCTCTGAAAACGAGCTTTGTACGATTTTGCGATGTGTGCTGGCAAGCGAAGCTTTGCTTGGCATGTATGCATTGAGCGCTGTCAAGCCGTGCAGAGCGGAGTGCTAGTCGTACACGAGCGGCACAATCACTGAGATGAATGGCTCTGGTGGCACGAGAACGTACAGGAGGTGACTGATTGATGTTGGCAAGTGTTTTAGACGGAGCATCCGCAACAGCAACTTTCACAAGCTTGGAAAAAAGTCGTCTCCACGCAGCGAAAACGTGCAGTGGTTGCGTGCTTCCGTATGGTGCCATTGTATGGGATACCAAGGTAATGCGAGTGTCAGAGTCGGTTTACGAAGCATGGCTACGTATGCTTGGTGTATAGGCGTGTTTGTACGTTATGCATGGTGAAATCCGTTTGAATGTAGTGTTTTGCATGTGACACAAGTCCAGGCTGCGTCTAGAGTCACTCGTGCCAGCACCGTGCCAGCGCCCCGGAATAGTGCCGGCTAGTCCGGTCGATGCTTTCCCGTCAGCTCCGGCACGGCACTGGCACTGGGTTGACACAGCGTAAGCGCACAGAAGGCTCTCGACGCAGTCTTGCATCATAGCGGCAAAGTGTGATCAGGGCGCGTTTATGATCATAGTTAATTATCCTACATACCTTTTCTTGTACCTTCCCAACGAAGAGAAATGCAGCTTTACTGCCACCCTCCTCCCCGTCTGTTGTAATGCTGTTGTTGGTAGGTGACAAGTCGTTTGGAAAAGGAAGATAAATGGAAGAAGGTATTGACACTACAGCGTAAAAGAATGGCCATATCGCTTATAACGGCCTCACATCTCTATAGGGTCGAAAGGTAAGGAAACGAAGCGTATGAGCTAATCCAAGAGCTTGTCTGGAGTGATTTGTGGATCGAACGTCGTCGTCACGTCTTCTGAGTGTTGTGGCCATCAATATGTTAAGGAATCTTTTTGTGTATTTTGCACAAATAGGGATCCTGAGACTTTACCTTTTTCTTCTATTTCCCCGCTGTATAAAGTTTTTCCCTTCGTTTGAAGCCCAACGAGAACTGGTCTCCATTGCAGCACTACCTTTCTTTTTTCCGTCTTACCTCTTTTTTTGCATTGCAAATGGATTTGCTCCACATTTTCGTGTACAGTCATCTTTGATTATCTGAGGTACCTGATGTTTGCCTTCAAAAATCTGTCTCTACTGACTTAAGAAGAATTTTATTATCCGCATGTGCTTTGCCATTTTCTAAATTTTCAGCTTAACCTTCTTTTTGGTGAAGTGCTGTGGTATCTAACACTTTCTTTCGTTTTCAAAGCTTTTTTCCCAGCAAGTTTGTCTTGATAACTCCAGAATATTCAGACATCGTGGCATCAACTTCTTTTTGCCAGCATTCTCCCACTTATGGCTACAAGAGGAAGATGTGGGACAGGATAAGCTGATTGCGGATCTGGTGGTAGGCTTATCCAAATTTCCTTTTGAAGATTCAAATTTTATTGGGCTTTCATATAAGCAGCTTTCGTTAATTTTTGTGGCTTTTCGCTTTTCTGTATAGTCTCCAAAAAAATGAAAGACAGTAAAATCAACGCAGTGTTTTTAAAATCCCATTTATCGTCGCTTGACATGATTTTAGGCCGGAACGGAAGAGGAAGACACACCTCGTATTGAACTTGTGCTAGAAGAAGGTGTTCTGGTACAGGAGGAAAGTAAAGAGAATGAGTAAGTCATCAAAGCTTCTATAATATCCCCTTGTTCTAAGTTTACTCTTTGAAGGTGTCCTGATCCACTGAAACAGTTGATCTGTTGCTTCCAACGTGCTGCCACAAGTGAGGAGAGTCAAGCACAAACCATTCACGACGACTCTTTGTGAGTATTCGATATAAAAGTGGCACCTTTATCATAAAAAAGTTCCGAACACAGCTCAGAAAGCAGCTCAAATTTTCCATTAAAGCGGCAAGCAGCGCGTGCAAGCTCATCCAAAAGAATTCGATTTTATTTTATTGTTTGTTGTTTGTCTTGAAGCTAAAATTCTACCTGATAGTGTTTTATAGCATAAAGATGATGAGTGAGGAGTTTTGAGGATCTTCTTGACTTATTGCGCTAATTTTCTGGGCTGCAAAATTTTACCGTAATCCCAGGTGAATCCCTAACCATAAAGTGAACGTCATATCCGCAAAGGACCTGAATATCACAAAATATGATTTTTCTTGCCTTGAATGCATAAGTCTATCTCTTACATAATTTGAAATGAAGGTCATTTTTTGTCCAGCAGTTCAATAAATTCAGTAGAAGAGGCATAACATAGAAGACATGACATAGAAGGATGATTACAAAATATGTGATATGAATAGTATGAATATGCTCAGGTACATACGTTTCGCTGACGTTATGGCTCAATCTATCCATATTGAGGAAGAGGACGACGATGAAGATGCGGAGATAGATCAGGCGGTAAGAATCGGTATTTTGTATGACTGTAGTATATACTCATGACTGAATGCCTTTGTTTTGTGGCTAAAATTCATCTTTCAGGAGAAAGAAGAGCAATCGCAAACCCTTCGTGCCGAACAAGGAGTTCTTGCCGATCGTGGAGCAGCCATCATGTGTTTGATGTACTTGTCGGCTAGCAATGGTGAACCGAATGAGATGGTGGCAAAAACTCTTGAACTTGGCATTCATCTACTATCTGGAGGAAATGTGGATATCCAGCGGGTACGATAAATTTTTTCTTGGAAAATCATCGATATAGTGAAAATCCTCACTTTCAGTTGTTGATCGAGTATCTCCAACTGAAGAAAGACGTTCGATTCTTCACATCATTAGCTGGGCTGATGAACAAATGTTCAGTACTGAACCTAGAGATGTTTGAGCGTCAGATAAAGGTAAACTTCAACTTCTTTTTCTCCCATGAAAACCGACCTTTAAACTACTGATTCCAGGCTGAAGGACTGGGAATGGGAGCAGAACTGGCATCTGGTGATAATCAAAATCTCAACGATGCCGAGTTCACCTGCTCGCTGTTCCGATTCTTACAGCTGACCTGCGAGGGCCATAACCTTGGTAACTTGCATAAGTGATTTTTTTGGGATTGAAGGTTGGTACGGCTACACGGCTACATTCCAGATTTCCAAAACTATCTTCGCACACAACCTGGGCATACCACCAGTGTCAACCTTATCAACTGCACTGTCGATTACCTTCTAAGGCTACAGGAATCTGTTATGGACTTTTATTGGCATTATTCTAGCAAGGTTTGCCCGTTTGCTATTTTCGTTGTGCATTTAAACGCTGCATGTCCGAAATTTGAGTGATGAGGAGCACATATTTTTCATCCGAAAATCTCCGTTTGATCTTGTCATGGAATGCTAGTGAATTTTACTTCAGGAGGTAATCGACGAAGGTGGTAAGGAATATTTCCTCAGAGCAATCCAAGTCTGCAGTCAAGTGTTCAATACCCTAACCGAAAGCATTCAGGTTTGTCACACTGGAACCTAGGCACACAATTTGAAAGTAAAATAATCATAACTCGAACTATAAGTCATGATTGAGTGATAAATGGGCGGTTAGCCGAAGAGGCGGAGCTAGCCCTTAACATGAACTTTCTTGAGTTTTCCTATCATTATCTAGTAAGAAAAATTGCTATTTTTATTAATAGCTAATGTTCAACCTTTTCTTAAATGATCCAACCCGAACTGTACACTTTGTAGGGACCATGTGTCGGTAATCAAATGACGTTGGCGAATTCCCGTTTGTGGGATGCCATCAATGGTTTCTTCTTCCTGTTCGCTCATATGATGGAAAAACTTTACCGAAATTCTACCCAACTAGAACTTTTACGAGAGTTCCTCAACTTACAAAAGGATATGATCGTGCTGATGCTGTCTATGCTGGAAGGTTGGATCTTTAACTCCATTTCAAGCCATGGATTCAATTCATTCTTACCCCTGAAGGAAACGTACTAAATGGACCGATTGGAAAACAAATGGTGGACGCATTGGTGGAATCTCAACCGTCCGTAGAGAAAATTTTGAAGTTTTCGGATATGTTCTTGAAACTGAAGGATCTCACAACATCGCAGGCGTTCCAGGTTTGTCCACACTCACAGCGCAATAATATAATCACAGGAGAGATGATTTAGGACTTTGATACAAATCGCGATGGATGGATCAGTCCAAAAGAGTTCCAGAGAGCCATGGAGAGTCAGAAGATGTATACTGTGTATGTTATTTTTATCTCATTGTCACCAGTTGGGTTACCTCAACAATTTATCTCCTTTTACAGTGAAGATATCACGTATCTGATGATGTGCACCGATGTGAACAACGATGGAAAGGTGGATTATATGGAGTTCACCGAAAGATTCCATAATCCTGCTCGAGAAATCGGTTTCAACTTGGCTGTGCTGCTGACGAACCTCAAAGAGCACATCACTAACGATCCTAGATTGGAAAAAATCATTGAGAAGGTGCGGTGGCTAGAATTGTAGACTTATGCAAACGGTTATCGAATTTTTAGGCTCAAACATTACTGGAATACTTTGATCCATTTCTTGGAAGAATTGAGATTATGGGTTCAAGCAAACGTGTCGAGAAAATCTACTTCGAAATCCAGGAGTCCTGGCTGGAACAATGGGGCAAACAGCAGATTCGGTAAGGTTTTACCTGCACATCTTATGGAAGTACGACACGAGAATCTGGTTATGGTGTAAAACCAATTGAGACTAAATTTTACATAAAAAGCTTTTGCGCGAGATTCGTTCTATGTGGTTCCATGGCTTCTCTTATGCCATCCTTCTGCCAGCCCCGTGCCGGAACCTGCGTGGACGCGCCTCCGTATTGATTGGCCGCGCTCCAGCATGGCGCCAGCACGGCGCTGAAACAGCGATGGCACGAACAACTCTGATTGCAGCCTAATTAGGCCTAAGTAATCAAACTAGTTAAACTAATCGAACTAATAATTAAGGCTAATAGTTGAAACTATTAATTAAACTAAAAAAATCAAAAGATGATCAAACTCATACGTAGCGCCTATCTCTAATTCATAGAAGACGCATGTGAGATTCACCATCTATGATAAAGTTATGACATAAATATCAGAATTCTTTCAAGAGACATCAATGTACCCATATTATTTTCATATGCAGTTTCTGTTACGTTCGTTTTATTCTCACCTCATCCCAAACAATTTCAGCGACTCAAAGAATTCTTTCCTTTTCAACGTGCTGCAGGATGATGGCGGTGATCAAGGCAAACTTGAAGCTTTCATCAATTTCTGTGAAGTGAGTAAAATTTTGCGTAGATGCTAATTGATAATCAATCCACCATAGGACACGATCTTTGAAATGCAACATGCGGCAGAAATCTCTTCTGGTGATAGTGATTCAAAAGTAGAAAGAGCTTTGAAGCAGAGAGACTACTTCTTGCAGCAGACCAGCACGAGAGAGTGAGTGGAATGTTCGAAGGCAAAACGATTTTTTACGAACTGTGAAAATGTTCAGGCAAATCTCCGAAACATTCAAAAGCGGCTATCGCTATGGACTTACAGCAGCTTCGGCATTACGCCCTGAAAATGTGAAACAGGCGATAAAAAGTCTCAGCGCAAAAGCAAAGTGAGTTTATTTACCTTTGGTTTGCTGGGGTTTTAGGTTTCAAAAATGCTCTTGAATTTCAGACAAATGACATGGATGCAGTTAATATGGGCAATTCTTGTGCTCACATACCACCTTGGAAAAGGACTGGGATACTGTACTTACTTGCTGCTGATGACATTGTTCCGATTCGCCTACTATCTGACCACTCCAGAAAAGGAAGATGACGGCCATAAAGATGAAGCAAATGAGTAAGTTAGCTCCAGCATATAGTTGGGATATTGCAATATCATCCGTTTTATCAATGCAGCATGATTACTGGCAATCGCAAGTTTATTCTGAACCCTTGCCCAGTACCGTAACCGATGACTCTGGTCGGAGAAATACGGTCTGGGCGAGAGTTCAAAGTGACTTTTCAGATCAAGAGTACATGCTTAAAACTGCGATCGGGCGATCATTAGGATTCTTGAAGACAGTGGCACAGTAAATCCTGGACCTGTAGTTTTTTCACTTACCTGGAGTAATTCTAATTCCGAAAATCCACCCTGAAGAGCGCGAAAATGACGAAAACAAGCATTTACCGAGGCCGTCCATTTTAAATTTGAACGAGAGGAACGCTTCACGCCATGGTTAGAGACATAGAGTCGTTTGGGACCTCCATGTTCATAGTATGGCGGCATGCCGCCTCTGACGGTTGAGAGATATCGCAAGCTCGTCCGAGCTTTTGTAAGAATGGCTTGCGCGCACGGGTTTACAGCCAATTTTCTAGGCAGGGGCAGCACGTGTGCGCTCGGACCTCTCCGTCCTCATGTTTGGGATATAACCTTCCATATAAGAATTTTGAGCTGTTTGGTTCTGCCGAGCTATATGCCTTTAATCAGTATGCAAGCATTAGGCGACATATTAACTAATATCTCTTAGTTTCCGATTACGATCGCCTTCATACAATCAACCGATCTTACCGGAATTCCATCACACCCGAGTAGGAGTGGATGCATTTGGCTTGGCTGCGGAGCAACTACCGACGGGAAATCATGTGGCCCCTGATATACCGCAAATCATTACCGAGGATACAGCCAGTTCGGAAGAGCCAACCACCACATCTCCAACGATGCCGGCTTCGCATCCTCCATCACCGCATGGTAGCGTTCATAAGGCAGCGAGGTAGGAGCTTGTGATGCCCATGTTCGAGAGTGCGCATTATGAAGTCAGAATTTAGTCTATATGAGTCCATCGGAGCCCCGGCGTTGGCCGCTGCAGCCTCAGAAGCAGATCTGACCGCTGGCGCCTCGTACGAGCCAAAGATCGCTGAGCAAAATATTGGGCGCAGCAAAGGATCAATCTTGGTAGGCTTCTTCCAAAGCAGAATAGGGTCTAACCAACTCTTTGACTCTTTCAGAACATGCTTGCGAGAAATTTCAGAGCTATCGAGAAAACAACGCTGTACCTGGCTTTCTTCATCAATATCATCTTACTGTTCCATAGAGTTGATATCAAGCATGTGGATGCTCAAGGTTAGCATATCCTTTGTCTTCTAAATGGTTTTCACCAGACAGTCACAAAAAATAATGATTTCCCAGAGGGAGCGGAAGCAGAAGACGACGACGATAGCACTGTTGAGACCATATACATTAGTGGAATGATGATACCTTATATAGACTATGAAGTAACTGGATGGGTCCTGTCACAGGTAAGAGATCTACGTTCTTGGGGTACCGTGCCGACGTCGTGCCAACGCCGTTCCGGAACTTAAACGCGCTATCGATCGAGATACGTTTCGGCACAGCTCTGGCACGGAGCTGGCACGACTCTGAACGCACCTTCTATGCTTTCCACGTGCTGTTGACAAAACAGTACATGGTGTGATTGCAGGTTTTGTATTGGATAAGCGTCTTGCATGTTACGATTTCTTTTGCCCTACTGGTGTCGTTCTATCAACTGAAGGTGAGCGAATGTTATCAAAGGTGTGACGGAAGTTGAATTTTAACATTGAAGATTCCACTTATCACTTTCAAACGTGAGAAAGAAGTGGCACGAAAATTGATGTTTGATGGATGTTGGATCACTGAAGACGATAACGAAGAAAGTGGAATCGTTGATACATTGCTTTGGTTGGTCATATAGAAATTGGTCGTTTAGTTTATCAAAATCAACAAACAGTCACAAAAGTCTAACGTCACAACCTTCAAGAATTTATCTTTTTGCAGGTACCTTGATAGAATTGTCATCAGCTCTAAGTCCTTCCCGATGACATACTGGGACAAATTCGTTAGGCGAAAGACCCGCCAGAAGTTCAAGGATCAGGTTTGAATACACAGTCGTAAATCTAGTTTTATCTGTACTGCAGCTTCCGGGTTTGCCCGTTTGCCAACATCGTTCTAGCACCGTGCCATTCGTGGCCCACGGACGGCGTTCCGTGATTGGTCCTTTGACGTTCCGCCGCTGTAGCACGGCGCTGACACGGGCAAATCTGGACGCAGCTCACAATTATTATTTTACATGGGAATAATTGATTTATAAAAGAACTTGTCTCTTGAAGTGATAGTAAAATGGGTTTTGATCTACATCATCTAGGTGGATGAGGAGACGCTTTCATTGGTGCTTGGTGAGGAGAAGGCCGCTGGTGACACTAGCTTTGACTACAGGTTCGCGTTTTCGTGAAAGCTTCTTCTTCACCTTTTTGTGACTAACAACCTCCTTTCAAGGTACACGTGCTGGCTGTGGATTGGCGTAATCTTGACGAACGGACAGTTCCTCTACCGTGTGTTCTACATGCTGTGCTCGGCTTTCGGAGTGTTCATCTCGCCATTCTTTTACGCCTTCCACTTGATCGACGTCGTACTTTCTTTCCCTATGTTAAAAGCTATCCTGCAATCTGTCACCCACAACTTGCAACAGGTGGGTGTGGACCAAAACCTTTTATAATTTTAGCGCCATCTCTTTTCAGCTGATCCTTACCATCATGATGACCTTGGTAGTGGTGTATCTGTATGCTGTACTGGCTTTCAATTTCTTCCGCAAATTTTACGTCCAAGAGGGTGAAGATGGAGAGGAGCCGGATAGGAAATGCCATAATATGCTTACAGTAAGCTGATTCTTCGCGGGTCCTCAAAACTTCAGCTGATCTCCTTTAGTGCTTCATCTACCACTTCTACGCCGGTGTAAGAGCTGGTGGAGGTATTGGTGACGAGTTGGAAGCACCATATGGTGATGAACTAGAATACCCAAGAATGTTCTACGATATCTCATTCTTCTTCTTCGTCATTATTATTCTGCTAGCCATCATGCAAGGTTAGAATAATTGCACCTTCCTCTGCACCGTAATCCTACAGTATCCCAAAAAATAATGATAATTTAGGTTTGATCATCGACGCCTTCGGTGAACTTCGAGACCAGCAAGAATCGGCTACGGAAAAGTTGGAATCGTCGTGTTTCATTTGCGACATTGGCAAAGAAACATTTGATCGGTTGCCAAGAGGCTTTGAAATACACGTGACAAAGGAGCACAACTTTGCTAACTACCTGTGAGTTTCTATGTTGACGAGAACTGGTCCCCGGAGTCAATGGTTTGTGGTCGTTTTTAAGGACCAGTTCTCACACATACTTATTGTTTTACCAAGTCAGGAACGATACACTATGAATGATTGTATTCTAGATTTTTCCTACAACATCTGGTGAACAAGGATGACACCGAATATACGGGACAGGAGACCTACGTGAGAGAAAAATATGATAACAGGTGAATGAATTTTTTCAAGTAAATTCACCAAGCTGCGTCCAGAGTTGCTCGTGCCAGTGCCGTGCCAGCGCCTTATAACGCAATGTCGGGACCCACGTAATGCCCAAGTACATACAGGTCGATCGATGGTGCTGGCACGGCGCTGGCTCAGCACCTATCCACGAAAATCTCAGCGCCGCAATGTGATTTTTTCCCTTGCGATCTTCACAATTTTCATAGCGTTGAAAATCAATTTTTTCAGAGACTGGGACTTCTTCCCAGTAGGAGAATGCTTCGTGAAACAATACGAAGACCAACTATTACAGTCATAATATTTATCATGTGTAGATTCAGAACAGAGCTTTTTGTGTACTTTTGCTTATTTAGGAGTATTAACGAGTGTATGACAAAGTGCACAAAAGTTTATTTTACAGGATTCTAAGAGAATCATCCGAGATTAGAATTTGAGATTCGATGAGTGATCATTAGATTATATGTAAGAAGATCTAGCCGTAAATGCTCAATAATACGCTCATACTTGTGCACTTGCAGACGGACAAGCTTTAACTATGACTCCATTTTGTGCCTTCCCTTTGTGTACCTATATAGTTGTTAATAAATATTTTGGATTTAGATCTGATAGCGATGAATTTCGGGTATCCATATTATTTTTCTTTCATGAAGTTTCTTTTATCAAGAAATCATTAAACCTCAAGAATGTAAAAGTAATGGATAGATGGGAGGATAGGGTTCTTCGAATTTTCCACAAGTTCAAAGAAGCAAAGCATGAATCATAATAATATCATAAATTTCGCGACCCTTTTTAGCTTCATGCGCTTTAGGGTTCCCATAATTATTTACCGTTTTTACCTTAAACATCAGCATTTCTTGAGAACTGAGGCACCTTCAAAATTTTCAAATACATGATCTACTTCTGTATGTATGAGCTATATGATCACGTGTGTGGGAGGAGCTCAGGACTTCTAAGGGCGGGGTTTGCCATTTTACCTCATTCATTTTTTCTTTATTTCTAGCCATGGAAAAATTCGAAAAGTATGCAGTCAATGTGCGATGTGTCAAGCGTGTGCCAGAATAAATTTGGAATTTTTTAGATACTTTGGGACGGAGATGCGATTTTTGACAGAAAAGTTCGTTTTTGATTACTACCATATTTCAGCTCAAACTTTACGTGGATTATGATTTACGCAGACTCTTGATAGCCATCTTGTAGAGCTTGCTTTGCCCTATCGAATGGTTACTCAAGCCGCATCAGATGAAGGATAGATACAAAAAGACGACCGTCGAAGTAAAAACGATAAATAATTATGGGACAACCTAATAGTTCGATTGGGGCGCGCTTTCCTCCCTATGCTGATGATTTTATGCTATTAACGGCAATAGCAAATGACTGAAACCGATCACTGTTAACAGTTTCTTGTTTTTTATTCGGGAGCGTCTAACTCCATATAAGTTTGCATTCAGTCTAATTGTAAGCCGATAATATTGATCAATGAGATGTTTCAAGAGGACTTGTAAAGTTACCAAAAGAGTTCTTTTTTGAGAAAGACAATTTTATCTAAATTTGAAAACGTATTCACTCTGCTATATCCCACTTACTCGCTTTCTTTTCCTGTTTGTTCTACCAACACGGGCAATGTAAACCTATCTCTTTCTTTTCGAGGAAGCAGCCAATCTTGTTCATTCTTTTTGGATTTTCAGCCTGTAATAGTTCACTTCCTTCAATTGGGTTAGATGGTGCGTCGGTTCAATCGCTTACATGCAATTTTCGAGAAAAATCATAAATTTTAACTTGCATGTGCATACCGTGAAGATATAGCAATCACTGTGAAAGGTTCAGATATGTGCCCCGGTAAAGGGCCCTTCCGGCTATCTGAAAATTGCAGATAAAGAAAGTTCGAGGTTTTGTTATGGTTTACCCAGTGTGGTTTAGTGTTTCGAGCCCAAGCTTTGTAATATGGCCGTTCGTTCAGGTAAACTTCCGCCATATTCGAAATTGCAACCGTAGAGGCTCTAAAGAGGATCATTATCGCATTTTATAAAGTAGAAAGATGCCTCACTTATTTATTGCAAAGATTACGGACGCACGAAATTCCTGATTTTCTGCACGTAAATATGGTTCACCCATTTTGTCGCATTCTTTCCCTCTAAGAGAGGCTCCCTCGCTCACGAATACAGCTAGCTAAAGCGGAGACAATTGTTGCAGAAATTCTGAGGCTTCTTTGATAAAAATTGAAGAACTAACGAACATGGAAATGAACCCAGAACTCATCACATCAAAGCGAATGACCTCTTTACTGCTCATTATATACTTCCACAAACGTCAGGCGTCGAGCACTCACAGCGTGGTGGGACCCGTTTCAATCAATCGACCTTCTAGGTAATTTGTTCTATAAAGGATTGCCCTTATGACCAACAAAGAATGGACATTTGTACAAAGCGTGGGCTCAAATCAAATATCGCTACTGCTTGTGAGTAATTGGTGAATCACATTTTTTTCGAAATATAAATGGTCGTATTCAATAAGCACTCGTGTGTTTCGATTAAAGCTTAGCTCGGGTTGGCTCCTCATTTTCCCTTGAAATCGCAAATTTCTCTGACTTACCATCAGGGCCCGGCACGAGGTGGGCAAACGGGGTTTTCCAAAACGAATTCCCCTTTGATCCCAATAAATTTTACGAATACCCCCTTGAGCCCAAAAATGACGTTTTGTGCTTGTGCGACGAGATTACCGGCCACACTTCGCCTAAAAGCGCTCAAAAGCACCCAAATTGCTCAAATTCCTCAAATTATTCCTCAGCTGGATCAAAATAGAAAACAGGAAGAAAAATAAGCAAGAAAATGATTAAGGAATGAGAAAATATTAAAGAAACGCAGTCATAGGAATGAGAGACGCCGCTCCCGCGCGTATCGATTGACTGGAGCGCGCTTTCCATCTTAAAAAGCTAGGCTGCTGATGCGATTTCGGGCTCTAACAAGGTCAAGAGGAGGAGTTTCGAAACCAAAATTTCACCATGTAGTAAACTTTAGGTGTACAACAGATTTATGTAAAAATTCTGAAAAAATTATGTGAACTGAGAGTTTTGCCGACCTCAGGTGGGAATTAGGTCGGCAAATGCCGACCTAATTTGGAAATTAGTTAAGGAAACTTTTCATTCACATAAGTTTTTCATAATATTTCATACTTAGTTACTTAGTCCTACTGCGCATACACACACCGAATCCCGCGCGATTTCGTTACCTCTGCGTTGCAAACGAGCCATTTTTCCATTTCTTTGGTAGCGCAAAATTTTCAAAAAAAAGTTTGCCACAACCTTCAGTCACATAATTTTTTAATGAAACTCCTCATTTAAGCCCTGCAAGTCCGTGTGCATGTATTTACCAAGTTTCATGCCATATCGTTCATCTGCGCGTTCCAAACGAGCCGTTTGAATTCACATCTTCATTTACCAGTTTTGCGAAATTCTCGGAAAAAATGCTAATTACTCGTTCCGTTCACATAAGTTTTTCATAAATTTTCATACTATGTTTCCACTAGCCTCTCTCCGTTCGCATACAAAATTTGGTGCCATATCGTTGCACATACATTGGGAACTAGTCATGCATGCTGTTACAAATAGCATCGCTTGGGCGACGTCGCGCGTGCGGCAATTAGCGACGGCGCGGTTTGACGCGAGCGAACTCCAGTTCGCCTGTTGAGGCACATAATATGTCAAGATAAGTAGCGAGCATGAAAACTACCAATTTTTTTCCGGGGCTCCGCCCCGGACCCCGCAAAAACGATTTCCCCTTTGCTTTTTGGCCCCAAAACGATTTCCAGCTTGTCATTTGCCGACCTCGTGCCGGACCCTGCTTACCATCTAAATCCAGCGAATCGCGGACGAAAGTGGAGAATGGGAAAGAAAAGGTAAGGAATAAGCCAGCGAAACGCGAAAAATAGCAATTCAAGACGATCATGTGCCCTGGGAAAGCGGAGACGACAAGCCAGTCATATGCCGATGTGTCAAAACAATAGGTTTTACGTTTTTGCCTTATTGTACTCATTGTTACTTGCCATTGTGGCAGGAAGTTATGTAAAGGGTCCACAAAGGCTATTTTGCATGCTGATTACGAAATTAGCATTCGCTTCGTATAGTGTGACCTCTTTGGTAAGATTAGGTAGTGCGGTACCGATAGTGGACTAAGTTCTAGCTACAGAAAAACTCTACGTCGGAATGAAAAGTTTCGTTGACAAATCACTTGCACCTGAATCATGTGACACCTTGGTAGATGAGCTTCATACGAGTTGGCCTTCGGATGGGTTTAAGCGGTCAAACTCCATTAACAACTACAGTCGCTACTATGCTACTTTGAGGTTTGATATAAGGTACAGTATGCCTGCTCAGTATGCTGTACAAGCTTTTCACGAAGATTATCGTCGATCGCATGTCCGGGACGGATGAAGCCCTCGAACGAGCTGGATAGAGGCTGCTGCTTGGACCATATTCAGACATTTTCGAGGGTCGTAGAAGTCTTACGGCCTGTCTCCCCTTTCGACCTTAATTGACTACGAGAAAGCCTTTGACAGCGTTGAAATCAACACCATCAAGTCAGTCCTAGTAAACAAAGGGGTTGACTCAGCTTATGTGAGGGCAGTGCCAGCTCTTAAAGGACTACTATCACATTGCAGGTATAGTGACCATACCGATTAGAAAGATAGTTCGGCAAAGGGACACAATCCCTTCAAATTTGTTCACAGAAGCCTTGCAGTGTTCACAGAAGCCTTGCAGGGATAAGTCACTAAACCAGAGCGAACTCAGCAAGAGAAGAAGACCAGCCTGGGCCGTTTTTGGGCCTCTGATACTGATATAAGCGCAATTTTTTTTACATTCAAAAATATCGGTGTGATTACAGATTACGCTAGTGTCCTTTCTGCTGAACCTTGCTAAAATAAGTCGGCGGATTGGAAAGGCGCCGTAAATTTATTGGTTGACTGTTAAAATGGAACAAATGATAATCACAACTGGCATACAATAAAACTACATCGCATTGATCCCTTGAAAGACGTTTGTTCATTAATTGAAAAAAAGCATATATCAGTTGTCCCATGAGTTCCGCGTTCTGACTTTGACTTGCAAAGTCAAATATTTCTTATTTCTAGATAGGTTTCAGAATATTACTCGATAGGCAGAGCGATCTTTAGAAGTGGCGAAAATTTCTATTTCTAATTTAACCAAAAAATATAGCAATGTCTATAAACGCCTCATGCGGAAGCATGCGTGAGCAAGTTGCAATTTTTTTAGGATTTTTTGGACGGATTACGATTTTTTCTCGATTTTTTGGGCAATGGAGTCTCTTTAAATTCTGGCTTCAAACTAGCGCTGGAGTGAAGCTGGTACAAAAGTAAGAACGATGTCTTGTAGAGCTTGCTCTGCTTTATCGAATGGTTTTTTGAAACTCATCTGGAAATAAGAAATGTTTGACTTCTTGCAAGTCAAAGTCAAGTCGGAAGGAACTTATGGGACAGCTTGATGAAAATTCCGATACTTTTATTCTGCTCTCTTTCTTATTCTCCTCTTAGCCACTCTAGCGACACAGGCGATGTTATACCATGTCCCTTTCTGCTCGAGAAAACATCCGATTCTTGTTAAGACTGACGAATTGCTGACAATTGATTTCCACTGCTTCTGTAATCAAGGATCTAGTCTCAATCCACTGGTACACCCGACACTGCAATTGAGATAGCCCGTAACTTAAGTTGCATGGGCTTACCTCAAAGATACTTCCAATAGCTATTTCGGCATCTGGTATTTCATACTGATAACCCGCTCTTCCCGCTACCTGAAATGTTTTAATTGTAAAAAGATCCAGAACGGACTCGTACGTACCCAAATTTTCGCTGGTTCCATGGCCTTGTAAACTCTCGGCGAATTCAAGTATAGCCTCGACCAAAACTCGAGATTGCATCCGTAAATGGTCTGAAGAAAATATTGCTTTTTATTTTATTTATTTTATTTTATTTTAGTTTACACTCACGGTGCACCAAAGAACAAAAAAAATAAAACTCTAACACGTCGAACAATAACAGCAATAACATGATATCAGCTTGTCCATGTCTTCAATCAGATACACGGTGGACTTATAAGTAATGCACTAACCTAAGGCCCACAAGATATAGCGAAAACTCTTCCAAATACCTGATGAGTGTAATGGCTTGAGCAACAAAGAATGACTGGAGAGTCTTGCATCCTCCAAATATAATCTGAAAACCCTTTTTGAGTGCCAGCGAGCTTACGGGCGGAAACTAGCTGACAGACCCCAGTTGAATATACGTTTTGGAGGATACCAAGACTCCAAATTGAAGTGCCAGTTAAGGCAAGGCTTGCCAGTAAGGCATAGAAGTAAGGCATAAGTGGAAGTAAACTGGGCACTTAGGTATGATTGTAATAGGAAGACATTAGGTAGAATCATGTATCCTGACATACAAGGCAAGCTAGTATGATCATTAGTGAAACAGGGTGTTTAAGTTAGGAAACAGTGACAAAACGAAAATAGATAGGTGGGAAGGGAAAATGACTCAATATTTTGGTTTGACTATTCAAAAATGAAGCGAAATGCATTTGCTCCGTTTACTTTTGTCTCTCAAAGGATAAGATATCTTACATGATTCTTTTGTCTTGTCGCATTTCTAACTTTTCTTACGGCATTGACTACGGCCGCCCGAAATTCTTGATTTTCTGGGTATTTGTATTTGCCGCCCATTCTATCGCATTCTTTTCCAGGAAGTCCAGGGGGGACATTATCCATTGCCATTTCTCCTTCGCTCATGAGCACAGCAATCTATAGTTGTCCATTTCTGGCAAGTTGTGCTTCTTACTGAACCGATTAAAATGTAAGACCAACGAGTAAAACGGTGTTGAATCCAGCAGTCGCCATAGTGGCACCAGCAAATTGGTGTCAGCTGTCCTCCGGCTCAGTTTTATACTTGTACACACCTTACGGAGTAGTGGGACCCGGTCGAATCAATCGACCCAACTTATTGATATGCACTTTTGAAAGATTGTTCATTAATTACAAAGATAATCGCGGTTGCGTACAAAGCATCTCTTTGAATTAAGTACAGTTGTCTATCAGTTAATTAATTTAAAATTAACACTTTGCAAGCGGATGTAACTCTTGCTCTTATTCGGTAAAATCTATCTCTAACATTTTGGAAAGATTTCGTCGTCAGAACATTATAGGCATTGACGATTTCTAGTCAAAGTTCACATTCCTACATTGGTACATACATGGTGAACTATGTGACATTTCAAATGCTCTCAAAAAAAAATTGTTTAACCTTTCCTGATGAAATTTTGGAGGGATAGGTAAGGCTTTTACAAATAAAACGTCTCAAAATTTTTAGAGTAAAACGTTGTCAGAATAGCGACCCATTTCCGAGATAGAAGGTGTGGTAGAATCAAGAATTCCCCCTCCCTCCCCCCCCCCCTTCCTCAGAACGTAGTTGTTTTTTTCTTATTTTCCGAGTGTTAGGCTTGGTCTTCTCAGTCATAAGATCTTTTTTTTTGTACATTTGCGTCATCAAATCAAGCCAGTAGGAAATCTTGTTTTTGCTAACAACATCAACAAACATTTTGAATCAATTTATTACTACAAAAAAAGAAGGACCCGTCAGCAACTAAGATCATAGTCCATTAGCTTCTAGCTAAGGCTCTTCTAGCTCGCTACCAGATATCGCGTATAGTCGTCCTGAAAGAGAAAATTCACGGATATGTCCCATTTTGGAAAGTTGTAATTACCGTCACTGCACATGTACTGGTCCCGAAAATGCATGTGAATCAGCTTTGATGATTTCTATAATAGGATCGTAGATCTCAGCTCGAGCACGTGTACCCCACAAAAAGTCCATGTGGTTGAACTCTCGCAGCTCTCTGAAAAACAAATTGAATTCTTTGAATTTACATTAGTTTGGTTTTTATGTCATAATCGTACAGCTTTCCCTCTTATTTGTATCAGAATCATAAGCATTTGAACGCGTTTTTCCTATCAAGTTTCATCCACCTAAGGCAGTGGAGGTAAGCACGCGTATGCGCTGAGGGAAAATAAATTAATGTGACATTTAAGACAGTAAAAGTGTGAGAGTTGGGGTAGAGGGCTGTAGTCGCCAAAAGGAGGTGGTTCTGGCGGACATCTGCGATAAAGCACGCAGCTCCCGCTACACACTACATGCATTACAGATTTGTACCACTTGTCCGCGAGGGGTGGAGCCTATCGTCGACATATAGTCCCCTACGCCGAGAGTTGTTTGACCTGCGTTTTTAAACTTTACTTTGTGACAAACTGCTTACTTTGTGCTCAAAAGTTATGAATTGCATTAATCAAAACTGCAGAATACGGCTTTTTGAAAAGCAAATTCGAAATAAGTTGCTAATTAAGTATACTTTTGTAAAATCGTGACGACGGATTTATCTGCGGTCTTTGCGCCTCCAGGAGCAAAAAACACTCATACAAAACGGCATCACCTCAACTCTTGGCTCAGTCTCTTCCAGTAGCTAAATACTGTCATATGTAAGCAGAAAAACGGTTGGCGTAGAGATCAAACCTTAGAAAATGCAATTGCTGGGAGGTGCATACGTGTCGCGCGCGATCGCGCCATCGTCACGATTTTTTGAATGTCCTATAATTGCAGATGTCTCACTTTGCATATTTGACGGAGTTTCGTGGGAGTGTCGGCATGAGGTATTGCTTGACGTCATCGGCGGTTGCGGTCCAGTCGTAGTCGGAATAGAAGAGGTAGATATCATTATGCACATTGCTTATGTTGTATTCGGGTGGCGAACTCTGTAATAGAGGATGGAGGCAATTAAGGTTAATGCTCAGAAAAATCTAGGAGCTTCTCCGGCTTCGTTTGTGGGATGGGATATTCGGAAAGTTCTATGTAAGAAATTGCCAAGTCGCATCTCATGTAATTAATTTGTGGCTAACTAAATGTAGTTTAAGCTTCCGCCCGGCACCGTACCCTAATGACCAATCGGCGTTGACGAGTACGGTAGTGGGCGAGTGTCAAAAGCCTAACTGTGTATAAACCGTATGAGCTGCTGCTCGAGAAAGGGCTAAGTTGAGACCCTCAGTTTGTATCCAACTAAGATAAGCAGATCAGATTTGCCTTAACTCTACCTAAAAGCTTCTAAGTTCTTCTTCTTGCAACGCAAAAGTGTTTTTGGTTTTTGGGTGAAGATTTTTGATCATTATAAAATCATTTCTAGGTACCTGTCCATAAACCCTCAGGTTTTCTCCAATTCCCATGTCAAAAGACGCCATTCTTTTATCATGAACCATTTGCGAATAGTGCATCATATTTCTGGTTGAAGTCCCAGCCAACATGTTCGCCACATAGACACCAAGCTTGCTCTGAAATAGATTAATTATTGGAAACTTGTATTCCCCATTTCCTCACCCACCTTCGTCATTTGGTTACTGTCCGGTCCCGCAACCAGGTAAACGAATTCTTCACAGAATGCACTGCTCAGTGGATTCTCGCAGAGGTTTTCTGTTACAAATCGGCTGAAGATATTGGCCGAGAAGAACTCGTTATCTCCAAAATAGCGATAGACTTCCTAAAACGAATTTAATCTGGCATTATAGGGATAAAAGTACAGTCTGAACTTACTTTGAGACGCTCATAGTTTTGTCCAAAATTGTGGAAGAATCCTTTTACATGAGACATTCGGTATACCGGCGCAAGAAGGAAGAATTTTCTGATCTGAATCGAGGAGGAATTAGCAAATTGATGAATTTATGGTCGAAGCTTTGCAATACACCCCGATCAAGTAATTTTTCGATTACATTTCTTTCTTACCTTTTGCGCAAATACTCGGTCCTTGCTGAGCTTTGCCAACATCGTCAATGTTCCTTGCGAATGTCCAACATAATACAAGGATCTTTGAGCAGTCCTGTTTAAGACATAGTTGATCATTGCTGGCAGATCGTACTTGGCCATCTCTTCCCAACTAAAATTTGGAGTAGAAATCCAAGCTAGACTTACCGCAGCCTTGCACCAGGAACTAAGACTCATAGAAGGTAAAGGAAATGAGCAGAGTCGTCTCTATCCGGCTTCTCTTTTCTACTAGTGATTAAGTAAAGTAGTTATTTGTCTATTGAGAAAATTAACAGTGAAACCCATTTGCAAGCCGATCAACGGATTAGCGACATGAAATTTCATCGAAAATTTGGTCCAGTAGTTAATGTTTAATAAACATGTGAGAAAAGAATTACAGAGTTAGAAGATTGGCATTGGAAGGCTGTGAGCAAAATTCTTTCACTTCGTTGATTTCTCAGGCAAACAGTAGGTGGGAGGGGGGGGGGAGTAGTTTCTACTTGTAATTAAAATAATTCGCCATGGTTTTCAAAAAAAATTATAATTGACCAATGCTTTTCGAGCAGAAGGGCACGCCCCTCATTCGAACGTCCTCCCCTCCCCCCTCTAAAAAATCTCTCGGATCGCTACTGCTCTGAGGCAAAACAATAAGAAAAGCTGCAATCACCTGAACCTCCAGAATTCGGCTGAATCGCTGTTAAGTGTCCTGTGTTCTTTCGAGTAAACATTGCCACGCATATTACCAAGCCAAACATCGTAACCCTGTTCAGCGAAGAGAAAACCTGAAAAAAATTTTTTTTAACCGAAGGCCATTTGACAGTAATTCCCATTACCAGCTGATTGATCTGGCGCATTAAGCAGCCATACCGAACTGGAGCAAAGTAATCCGTGTTGAAGGAACACTACCGGTCTATTGGCGGGCGGGTTTCTGTTGTGGGCTGAAGATGACATTTTTTCTTTTCTAACCTTTTTGGCTGTAATGAAAACACCTCGTCCATGGGGTATCCTATGCAATGTGAGGACATAACCATCGCAGGTGACAACTCGATGCTCTTCTAATCGATAGCCCCAATGTCGAACGATTTGTGGCTGGAAGGACTAATTTTTTACCCATCTGAAGTGGGAGGATAATTTTAAAGGAATAATTTCTAACTAAGGATGATATACGCTAGAATACTAAATAGCTTTGTTGAAATTTTATTAGGGTGATCCAAAAGTAATGGGGCGCCTAGAGAATAAATGCAGTTTTCTCAAATAGAAAAGCTAATTGGAAGTCCAAGTTTTGGCAGATGTTAGTACATAACAAAACCTTCTGATCGACTTCTATAGTTGGGCACTGTCACATGGCGTTATTTTTATAAGCGCTTAAAATGAAAGCTCATCACTTCAAGCAATTTTGAACTTTTATCAGCAGCGCCGCAGTAAAACAAGTGAGCCTACCAAAGATATGTGCGCAGCAATGGATGAGGGGACTGTCACCAAGTCCACAATAGCTCGGTGGTCCCAAGGCTTTAAAATAAAAGATATAGCGTTTGGTATCAAAAGATATAGTACTTATTCTTTTATCAAGGTAACCAAATAAACTCAACTTTAACAGTTGCTTTCTGATAGTGCTTTTTACGCTCTATCCAGAATTATTTCGACTTTTCTCGTTTTAAAAAAATGGGCCAAAACATGAATTTTAGTCTAAAAATCTGCGCCAAAACACCCCGCATTTTCGAATACAGTGCCTTTTTTGTATGAAATAGTGGGCATTTTTTGAATGTTCAAGTAATCATTAGAAAGAACTTGGAAGGTTCTTTCGAATGGTATGCTATATGGCGAGGGTCCTTCAGGTGCAGCAGCACAAATTCGGATGGCGTTCAAAAAAGTCTGTCGGATTTCTTTGAAGCGCCGCTCGAAGGAATGTTAGTGAATTGCTGAAAGATGCTGTCAAGATAACCTGCGAAGGTCACTTTATACAAAAGCGTTCAAATTGCTGGTTGTTCATAGCTAATCAGAAAGAGATCTTGAAGAATTTTCAAAAAAATCAAGGTGCCCCATTACTTTTGGATCACACTAACATAATGAAGTTCAGAGAACAAGAATTAGGGAAAATTTGTCAAGCAGTATTTCTAACTGGAAAGTTGGATTATGCCTACCACACTCATAGATGACGTTGGACCATTTGTAGCAGGTTTAGGTGGGTTTGCACCCACTATGAGTGAGACGGGAACGAACGGGATTTCTATCGGAATCGGGAGGTAAGCTGCTAGTTCTGTCACAACGCTCAGTAGCAGCATCCACTGGACGAAGCCAGCAATCATCTGAGAGAAAAACAAAAGCAGTGGCAATCGACAAGTGTTATGGATAAGCAGACACTTTCGAAACTGTTTTAGAGTTCCAAGATTACGAAGATGTTTATTCGAGGATGAAATGATTGTTGTGACGATGTTTAGCGAATAGAGGGTAAGGTACTGCAAGGAAAGAAGTGATGTCGGATACCTGATTTCAAAACTACGACTGATTAAGCTTTCCTTTGAGCGAATAGATTCTATCCGTCGTCTTGAGCTATACTTTACGCTTCTACGAAACTATTCAGCCTTTCCGGACTACCCGGACTAGGCAATGGGTGCAATTTGGTCCCAAGGGCAATGAAATTGGCTATACGTTAATTTATCTTCACATGTGCTAAAACTTTATACAATACATTGACTAGGATGATTATGAAAGTTATTATTTGAAATACATAGATTTCTAATGAAGGAGGTAGGGGTAGGAGTAATTTCAAGTAATTTCATTAGGAGTTTGTCCTATTGAAATTACTTTGGAATGTAGTTATCTGCAAGCTTAACTATCTTTAGCATAAGCTCCTAAGACGTTTCATTTGCCATTTCTTCTTCCATCACGCTTATAATTTTTTTCACTCCGACAATAATCGAGTTGTAAGCTGTCTACGATTCCAGCTACTTCATAGTGCAAATTTGGCTAATCTCAGTGTATCAATCTGCAGTAGAAGCTCTGTCGCACCATTTTTGAAATTCGTACTTTTCTGACATCATTGACATATTTCTCCTGTTTTCTTGAATCCACCTTATTTCAAAAAGAAAATCTTGAGCTTCGTAACACTATCTAAGCTACTCCTATGAAGAGATAAACTGAAAGGAATATTATAGATTGGAAAAATTCAGATAGCTACATTCGATTATAAATTGCCAAGAACAGAAACCTTGCAAAAGTATGGTCAGAAATCCAAGCTACTTTGAATGAACCAAAATTGTAAAGCTGCGAGTTGCAGGAAAAGTGATGAAGAGAAAAATGTAAAGTGAAAATATCAAAATAATGTTCAAAAACGTGTTGATGTAATCATGACTCGTAGAGCTGAAGCAAAGTAACAATATCGTGTAAGTGTGCTAGATGGGGTTCATTAAATTCAGCAGAAAATTATGAAATTTGTGATCAAAACATAAGGATCAAAAAGATTCTGACAAAATGCGAAGGAGCCTCGAAGATAAAATGCTTGTGTATTGTGGTCCATATGTGCCAATCCAGCGATTGAGCACTTTACACATGACCCAGGTCTCCTGGGGGTCACCGGATGTGGTATGATGTTTGCAGAGTAATTAATGCACTTCATGTCTCTTTCTGAGAGTCCCACACAATTGCTGAATATGCAAATGCACAAAACTTGTTGTCACCTTGAAAGTGAAGGTGTGGAGAGCGGGGAGGGAAGTGAAAAATTCTATAAACCAGTGAAAAACCAGCATTAAGGTGGATGGCTGCCTTTATGTGCCTGCTATTTTTTGTTCTCCTTCGGTCTTCTTTGATGGCCTCAGGCCGCTGGCACGAAATCTCTTAAAATTAATAGTTCATTTGAGAAATTGCACTGTAATCTATGTTTTGTTTCTGCGTCGAACTTACCCCTGCCAGAGCCATTGCAATGTCGTGCTAGCGCCGTGCTGGGTTATCGATCGATCAGTATGGTTTGCGTGACATCGGTTCCGACACGGCGCTGGAAATGCTGACGCACAGGCAACCCTGCTCTCTGCTTAGTAGTTTACTGTCGGCATCTGTTTTTCTATCTGATGACTCGATGAATTATATACTGTTTTATTTACAAAATTTAAGTGATTATCCATGCTGAGAACTTAGAGCTACATACAACCCGCAGAACAGATGAAACATAGACTGTATATACTAGTCTAACTTTAAAGTGTCGTTTAGCTTATTCGATATCTCGTCGATTGTCTTGTTTCCGCTTTGGCGTCCTAAAAGAAACAAATTCAAGCTGATGCAAATTTTTATGCAAAAAACTGCAACTTACTGAAGTATGAATCCATATTCCGTTGTAGTGTTAGCTTTCTTGAGTCGATTTTGATAATATTCGTAATTCGGTCATAGATTTCTTTCCTAGCTCGTAATCCCCACAGAAAATCGTTGTGATTGAAATTTTTCAGTTTTCTCAAAAACAAACGAGTTACTCGGTTGATTTCACGCAAATAAGGCGGTCACCTAGCGAATTTGACGCTCGTTCGAGGTAAGGTCGGTATGAGGAAGTGTTCGACGTCAGCAGCTGGTGCTAACCAGTCATAGTCGGAGTAAAAGAGGTAGGTATCACAGTGAACATTGGTAAGGTTATATTCGGGAGGTGTGCTCTGAAAATTTTTTTATCAGTTGAATCTTCCTCTGAACTTGGAAGAGTATGATCGTCACCACCTTGTTACAAACAACAGTGAGAAGAAATGTATCTCTAAATGTTTTCACTAATAATTTACGTTGGACCACAAAATCTTGTGATTAGTGCCCAAAATAAATATTTTTTAGAGTTTGATAGAGAAGCCGCTTCGTTGTCGTTTTTGCACCATCTTCATCGACAAAAAATAACTCAATCAAACACACTTTACTTGTTGATTACTTAGTGATTTCCATTGATATGGAACGTACAAAGTTTAGCGTGGGTCCCGTGTGGCGACACCGTGCCGGCACCGTTCCAGCCACGTGCCAGCGCAGAGGCATCGAGACGCACCTTTCGGCACGATGCTAGTACGATACTGACACGGGAACTTTGGATGCACTCTTAGCAACGTTTTGGTAAACCGCTGAGAATGATAAAAGTACTTTTTAGTCATTTAAAAACAGTGACAATCTTCTGCCTTTTTCAACGTACTGACACAGTCAGAACACAAAATATTAGGTTGTCCGAAAGTTTTGTCCGTTTTTTCAACCTATCATAAAAACGCGTGGAACGAAGATAGGGAAAAGCTCTAAGCACTATCCGACGCATCTTTTCCTCCTCTTTCTAACTGTCATAATCTTGTGCAGATTACACTTTTGCTCACTGAGATAAACGCCAAAATTTCGAACCCATGGTTTTTACTACGTCCAAGTTTGACAATTTTTCACAATCTTCATTTTCAACTTTTGGAAGACCTTTGATAGCCCTCAGATAGAGTAAGCAAAGGGCAATGCAATGCAGTTATTTGGCATATCTAGCTGGCTTTTCAATATTTTTAAAGATAATTTTTCCAAAAGTATTCACTTTTGCGAAGTTCTAAAACCCAGAAACGCCTCGAACACTAACAAATCATCGGATTTTGAAGCTTTCAAAAATCGATTACGATTATTCACTATTTTTACGAAGCAAATGAGCGTTTACCACTTCGAAATATAAGATTTTGCATTTTATTACGTGTACACGCTGGGGTGGGGTCAAATTCAAGAATTATGAAAATTTTATCGCCAAAGACCCCGCAAATTGGAGAGAAAATACACTCACTGGAAAGAGGAGGGAAAGCTGCATCGAATAACACCTTAGTTGTGCGCCGTTTAATGATCTGTGGCTTTTGGCATCACCAAAAGTGGAATTTGATAGCATCAGAAAAATAATTCTGAAAAATTTTCAAGGCTGGCTATAGATGCCGCAAAATTGCATTATATTGCCCTTTGCTTGCTCTATCTAACCGCTGCCAAAGCTTTTCCGAAAGTCAAGAATAAAGATTGTGAAAAATTGCCAAACCTGGACATAGTAAAAACCATGGGTTCGAAATTTCGGCGTTTATCTCAATGAGCATAAGAGTAATCTGCACAAGATTATGAGAGTTAGAAGGAGAAGGAAAAGATGCGTCGGATAGTGTTTAGAGCGTTTTCCTATCTTCGTTCCACGCGTTTTTATGATAGGTTGAAAAAACGGACAAAACTTTCGGGACAACCTAATACATTTGAAGATTATTTGGTAAAGAGGTTGAGGATAATTTTCTTACCTGTCCGTACCACCTGAGGTTGGCCTCCTTTCCACGATCAAACGATTCCATTTTCTTATTATGCACCATTTGTGCGAAATGAAGCATGTTCCTCGACGAGGTTCCAGCTGGATTGTGTGCCAGGTAGATTCCTATTCTTGACTAAAACGCTTGAACTATATTTAGTTTTTTTGCTTTGTTCAAGTAACAATTAAGCTAACCGAGTTGAACTGATTGCTGTTCGGTCCGCTCACTGAGAAAATGAAGTTTTCGCAGATTGGATTGTTAACGGATTTATCGCAGATAATATCCGTCAGTAAGCGTGTGAAAATGTTGTTTGAAAGGAATTCATTGTCACCGAAAATTCGATAGACCAGCTGAAAACAACAAGAATGAGAAATCGTTTTCAAAATCAACACTGCAAGTGCACTAACGCTGAATTGCTCGTAGATCTTGCCAAGATAAAGAAATAGTCCTTTGACATGAGACATCCTCGAAACAGGTGCAAGGGCGAAAAATTTGCGAATCTAAAAAATAATTGCCGACTATTCTCACTGCTAGGCTGCTTCCAGAGCGCAAGCACCAGCGCCAGTGCTAGCGCCGTGCCAGAACCCAGACAGGCGCACCTCGTGTTGCTCGATTGATTTGCACCAGCATGGCTCTGGCACAGTGCTGGCACGATCTTGGAACGGCTTTTAATTGCATAAGCGCACGGATAGCTCTGAAGGAACACACATCAGTGAGTGCTCGATCTCTCTTCTTTCCTTTCTACCAGGAGGCATTAAATGGCGAAAAAGAGAAGCAGTGGTGGTTGACGTATTCTGATCTACCTTTTTTGCGAATTTTTTGTCCTTGCTGAGCTTGGCAAGCATCGTCAAAGTTCCCTGAGAATGACCAACGTAATACAGTGATGTCTGCTCCGTCTCATTGAGAACATAGTCGATCATTGCCGGCAGATCGTATTTCGCCATTTGTTCCCAGCTAAATCGAGTTTTAGTGATAGAAGCATGAAAGCGATAATTTTAAAGATTAGCTGCTTTCAAGCGCAGACTTTTTTTCAGGTTCACGGTTCCTTTTGAGAGCGACAGCGCAATCTCGTCATAATTGTTCGCCAAGGCTTTGGTGATGCGATTCGACAAAAAAGTGACGGATATGCGTTGCACGCTAATTACGATAGTTGATTGATCATCGAATATCAACTATCTATAGTCAATCAACTATCGATTTCAAAACTTTGACTTTTACCTAAACTTCCAGAAATCGTTCGATTCGCTGCTTAGCGAGACATGCTCTTTTGAGTAGACATTGCCACGCATATTTCCTAGCCAAACATCGAAACCCTGATCAGCGAAGACAAACCCTAGAAGAAGAGCGTTTCATTGAAAACGCAAAACAACTATAATTGGCTGGTTATGGTAAGGCCCCATTCACGATCTATTCCATATAATGTTTCTGTGGTAACAGTGCTATAAAATGCTAATGGATATGTTATGTGCTGGATTTTACCTCCAAATTCACTTGATTCTCAATTTTTTTATTGGGAAAGTTGATTTGCACTACACTTAGCGACTTTTCAGCATTTTTGAAGAAAGATTTGAAGTTTCAAATTACCTAATTGGTTTATTCAGACCTAATGAAACTTCAACTGATCAGCTTTTTAGGTATTACTCGACGAACTTTTCTCTCCGCTTTTTGATGATTAATATTCTTTGCAATCTAGGGAATTACAAATTTATTAGCCATAAGCAATATCCTTTCCATAAACGAGCTTGTTTGTATCCGAAATCTCAAACTTATGAATTCTCAAGCCGTAAGCGTATAGCCTGCAGAAAAGTGTACTCGAATTCGGAATATCTGAAATTTTTAGTGTTCAGTACACTTTTATCTAAGATCTGTAAAGCAAAGACCTTCATATAATATCCCAAAAATCTGCAAAAAGCTAGGACAATTACGAAAAGAGTATGACATTGCAAATTGAGCGCTTCATCTCATTGTTATCAGAAATGCAAACAGCAAAAGTCTTGAGAAATTTGAAATTAGATGAGCTCAGGCAATGCCAAAACTATGGGCTGAAATCCGAGTTAACACAAGAGAAATCATTAAGACACTGTTGTTGGATAAGCAAAAATTGCCTTTTTTATCTTATAGGATTTATTGACAGACTTAAAAATGCAAGAACCTCATGTGCTTAAGATCAGCATTAGCTAAAAAAGAAAATTTGGTTGGAACCCACATACCAGCAGACTGATGTGGCAGATTGAGTAGCCAAATTGAGCTCGTACACAACAGTCCATGCTGAAGAAATATCACCGGTCGCACAGAAGTGGAATTTGCATTTTCTAAAACATTTCCGAACAGTCTTTCCTTGACTAGACTAAGTGTAGTCTCAATTTTCAGAGTTCCCAGATTTTTGCTGGTAGAAACTCACTTTTTCCATGCGGTATACGATGTAAAGTAAGAATGTAGCCGTCTGCAGTTGTTACTTGATGTTCTTCAACCGGATATCCCCAATGTTGGATGATTTCTGGCTGCAAAAAATAAAACTCTCGACCAAATCGGGGTGATTACGAAAATTTTGGAGAGTTTTAGTGCGTAAACTGTCATTTGAGGAGAAAATGAAATCAGAATTTCCAAAAATACTACGGTAATGGTTGGTAACTCACCACGCCCATTATAGCCTCTGGATCGATGTTGATCGGTTTTAGAGTGGTCCCTCTAGAAGTTCCATAGATTGGAGGCAGTGTAATCGGAGGGGGCCAGGTCGGAGGTGGTAACACCAACGACGAAGGGATCAGCGGCGGCGCTGGTGCGGCAGCAATTGCTGCATGTCCCGCGCCAGGTGGAAGTGCATAGTTTTGTACGAGATTTGAGTATGGACTGAAAGGGGCGAAGGGCAGCGGTGTAAGGTTTTCCGGTGGGGCTGGAAAGGGGTTGAATGCTGCGAAAGGAGTGGTGGAAGGTGGCCAGTCGGGTAGTACTGGGACGAGATTGGATTGCGGGAGAAGCAGAGGTTCACTGGGAAGGAGATCCGGAGGCCGTTCCATCGGGATTACTTGACGTTCGGCTATCAATGTATTGAGAGTTATCAGAAGGAACAGTGCTGAGACGACGGCAAACATTGGCAAGGCTGAAATTATTACTCAAGGTACTCTGTGAAACAGTCTCGGAAGTTTATACAATGAAAAATTGATGAAATGAAATGAAATGCGTCAATGAAATGCGTTCTGCGAAGAACTGCATAGAAAAACAAGGAAATTAGTCAGAAGACGCACAAAAGAAACACATAGCTCATTTTGCGAGATACCGTAACCTCAGCTTTTCGTCCACGAAGAAACCAGGTGCCACTGTCTTGATTTTTCAATGGATATGCAAACGGTGTCGATTGAGTTCCCCGTTTATCCCCGCACACGCATACACAGACACATACGAATGAGGTCATCGCACACGAAAACCAACGGTCCACAGATGCCGACGACGATCGGCGTAGCCTTCTAGCGTGAGACGGAGAGAAAATTGAATGAAAACGAAAGGAGGTGTTCGTTTTTGCGAGAAATTTCGCGTGCCGCTTTCTGCTTAGTTATTTACTGGTTTATGTGTTTGTCTATTCATAAATACACCCTAGTTTGTCTACATAAATACACCTACAATGTGAAAAGATAAAAAGGATCTTGAACTAACGCGATACCAGCCAGTCTCAAAGCTAAGAAGAAAAATATAGCATGGGAACACGAAAACAATTACAAATCAGAATGTTGTAAAATGCTCAATAAATATTCGAGTCATCATTCTGTCAACATGGAATTGCACGGTATCTGAAATGCCTGCTCTAAACAGTAGAGTGCCCCTTTTGAGCTAGCAGCAAGCGGACGAAAGCTGGCTGGTTTGACCTTATTAGAATTCCATTTAAGAAGAGAGCAAGATTGTTGAAAAATTAGATAGCGTTTTAGCAGTATCTCGTACGTTCTCTGTTCTCAAAACTTGGGCATTGTATCGTAGATCTAGTATACTTGGGACCGAATCGAATAATTATTTGTGCATTTGAATAAATCATTCGAATGAGAATGATTCGAAAAGTCGAATATTTGAAAATCTGAGACGAATATTTGAAGCATTCGATGAACATCGAATATTCGAAGCATTCGATGAACATCGAATATTCGAATATTCGACGACCATCGAATGATCGAACTCCATAAAAGCACAGAACTCATTGTAAAGTTTCTATCAAGCTACAACTCTCAGCGGGAAGTGCATATGTTTTGGGTCCTGGCGCGGTAGTCTGTACAATAGTCGTGACGCGCCGTTTCCCGTGTCGCAGTAAGCAACCGTGGGTAGGGGAACGAAAGCCGCCAGTTTGGGCCGCCTTTCGCGGCCAACTGGTCCTTTCGCAGTGTTGTTGCATGTCGTTCCAGGACCAGCAGTCCGCGGAGGCGCCCAAACTGATGGCTTTCGTTCCCCTACCCTGCAACCGTTATCGAACTTTCGTTAGCCAGAAATGCCAGGGTGATATCTTCAGCCTCTTTTTTCACTTTCTAGTTCTTTCCAGTCACTTTCTCCAGAGCATGGACTCAGCCTGAATTATCACGCTACGGAAGTTCTCAAGAAAGTAGTGAAAGTTACAGCAGCTCAGAAGAAACTGTCCCAAGACTCAGAAGAACCTGCTATCGAAAAGGAAGATTTTATGTTTTTGATGGTTGAAACCTCGCTCAGAGTTTTTGCATGCACATATTTGTCCAGAAATGAAGATTGCTTTATGTATTGCAGAGTAGTAGTCGTATAAAAGAGAACTACAAAGACCCACAACACTTGTAAACTACTTCCTTGTCCATGTTAACATATCACATAGACGTTTAAATTTTCGAACGATGTTCGAAAGTCGAATGATATTCTACATTCGAATGATATTCGACATTCGAATATTCGAAATCTTTGACTTTCGAATATTATTCGAAGCCGAATCTTCCAAATTTTCAGTTTTCGACTATATTCGTTATTCGAATAATCGAAAAAAAATTTCGAATTTTCCCAAGTACAATATTTAGGTGCTTCAATAAAAGGTAAATGACTAACTTTTAGGACTCTGAGGAAGTCAGGATTCTGAGGAAGGCATTAGTGCCGAAACGTTAGGTCAAAAGAAAGCACCTAGATATTTTAGCAAAACGTATCTAGGATTGCTCACAAGCAGATGAATTACTAAGAACTCTATGTATTACTACTACTCTATGTATTCGGATGAATTGCACTTGTTCCCTTGAGGATGGGTGGAAAAGAAGCAAAAAGAACGATGCTGAAGTGTCGACCGAGATGCATATGCAATGCGATCGGCTGCGTGGCGCGAGCGATTGAATGACCAGTCGAGGTTCTAAAACATAGCCCTAAACAGGTATTCAATCACGCTATGTCGTAAAACTGGACACTCTCCTGACACTGCGTTTTTGGGCTTTGCAGATTTTACAAAGCCTATGCCGAGAAAAGAAGCTTACGCCTGCAAGAAAAAAATGCCCTTGTCAAGAATGTTTTGTTGTCACGCGAAACACGCCTGTCAGATAAGGATTGAGTGTTTTGTGAGCATACAATGTTCGGCTTTGAGTCTGTCGAGACGTTGAAATTGAAAGACTAAGGCAGGACTGCCCTTGTGTCTTGCAGATCTGTTAATTTTCTGCAACGTTTAGAAGTGTGTAGATGTAGTGAATAGATAAAATGAGTTACATATTTGTGATGTTTAGCACGTAAGTGGCGTTATGACGGGAAGAGTGCCGAGTTGTGATGGTTCCATCAAGTTCCGCTGTCGATTGCATTTCCTTGCATTTCCTCACTAATTTACCTTTGACACATAGAGCCATGTACTTTAGTAACCTTCACTTTGAGCGACATGAGAAAGCACAATCGCGTAAAATAAAGAGAAAGCATTTGGAGGGAAGAGAAGGTTGCTGTTAACGAAACGAGTAGAGCGGGAAATACTTGAAAAGATTCCGGTGAGAATCTCCCCATAAACTGCAATAAGTTTTATGGATGACTCTTCTTGAAGTTCTCGTTGTTTGCTTGAGCGTAGTCCAAGATTGGTGCAGATCTTTATAGCACATAATACAGACACGTTTCGGCAAACTCGCCTTCTTCAAAGTCGGAAAAGTCGAAGACGCATAAATAAACTTTCCGATCTTTTCTATTTAACATCTCGTACTACAGAAAATACAGCGTTTTGGATAACCGCCCAGTGGTAGATGTTCATCCCTACAACTTCCAACAAATCTTGCTCTCTTCTAAAGCAACTATTCAGCCGGGCTTAAGTCAGCTAGCTTTTACCGGGGGCTCGCTGACACCCAAAAACAGGGTTTTCATTAACTTTAGAAGAAGCAAGATTCTATAGACCATTCTGGACATAGCGCTTTTTCCTTTGCTATGCCGCAATTAATGGCTACATCGTCATTACAGGGCTTCGGTTTGTTTTGTTTGGTCTCTTCCATTTATATATCTCTTCTTCCTTCTGTGACTGAGGATTGGCTGATCCTTTGTCTTTTCTGTGTTGCCTGATTTTCTGTTCGTTCGTTTTTTTTGTTGGTTTTTTAATGGTGCACCACGAGTGTATGCATAAAATAAAATAAAACAAAATAAAATAAAATAAAATCCAAAAATCAACCGGAACGAGCCTAGCCAATAATGAGGGTACAGCTTTTGGCATAAGTGATCTGCACTCACCAAATTATCATCTTCTAAAGTGAGCACTGTTTTAATCCTGCGTTTTGGTTGAGGCTGTTGTTCTTCCTAGGCGTTGGGCTCTCCTCTGTAGTCGACGACGTTCGATCAGTTAATTTACATGTGTCTTCGACTTTTCAGACTTTGAAGAAGGCGAGTTCGCCGAATCATTTGTCTGTATTCTGTGCTATGAAGATCTGTACCAATCTTGGACTACGCTCAAGCAAACAACGAGAAGATTGCAGCTATGCCAAGATTTATGGATAGTCTTTTTGAACTGTGACTAAGTTTTTCACGAAACTATTAGAATTGAACAAAACCAGAAACTGCGCTTGAATCTTGCGAAGGAAGTTGCAAATGAAAATGCTGATTTATGAATCTTGCGAAGGAAGTTGCAAATGAAAATGCTGATTTACCTCATTGAAGGCACCGCCTGCTCTAAGTTGGGGGCCTGAGCTTTTGGCAGCGTATGATAGTAGAACCCCCTATCAAGCCAACGTCCAAGTCGCGGCGCGGAATGTCGGTTCGGAAGCGAGAAAATCGCTTTGGAACAGCGAGGATGCATGAGGACCAACCAATCACTAACTTGGGTCGGCTTCGGCACCGTGTCAGTAATTTTGTTTACTGGCAAAAAAATAGATCATAGTATTATCAGAAACTTTGAATGCGGTGTTGTGTAAGTCTTGTTGCTGAGTGTTCGCGATTCCGCATGTATTGGGGAAGACTTGAAAATCAAGAATAAAGGCAAAACCAAAAAAATTAGTTAATCAAAGAGAAATACTTTATATGTTTCGAAAGGCTTCAAACTCTGCTATGATGTTATCCATATGGTATAAGTAAAAAACAATAGGAATGAGTCTCCTCTGCTTGAGCGGAAAAATTCAGATTTGAAAGGGTTAATGGCAGCGACGTTGTCAATACTCCTAGTCTTCTTATGATGTTTGTTGGTTCAGTGGGATTTCTCTGTTGAGCAACACCAGATATACGCACCGTTTATCGTTCCACCACCACCACCTCGAACTTGGGTAATTAAACCTTCGTTTGGGTTCGAAAACAACAAATACGATAACATCAATCAAAACTGTGATCACATCATCATAGAAACTAATGCCTTGTTGATTTCCTTGACTATTTTGTCGAGATTTTTTCCCGCCTTTTTGGCCAACTTTGAAAAACGTGCTAATGTGTTTCTTGGTCAAAAAACGAAATCGAAAGCGATTCTTCCAAAAAGGCGCTCAATATAGGGATAACACTTTTGCATAAGAATAGGATTGGAAAACAAAGCTGAACAATTCCTCCCACCATGGAGGCTCGGCGTCAGATGGCATGTGTTGAGCTTAGCGACGACATCTTCTTGATGTTAATGTTCGGCGTTGACTTCGTGCATTTCTGTAAAAGATTCCATAAGCAGATAAACTACCTGGGG